CTGCAGGCCACGCCTTCTCACTGGGGCTCCTGTGACCTCCTCTTTACATATTCATGGAGAGAGAGGGAGGTGTAGTCTCTGCTGCTTCTTCCTATAAGAACACTAATCTATGACCTCATTTACATTTACTACCTCCAGAAATGGCCTCCTCTACTATAAATACTACTCAGGCTGGGACTCAGTGTTAGACTTTTGGGCAGGCACAAACATTCAGTTCGTAGAGCAATGTATGGAGATTTATATTACCACACATCTTCGCCAAGACCTGTTGCCTAACTTAGATCCCTTTCAGTAGGTGTGAAGCAGTATTTCATGATGGTCTTGATTTGAGTTTCCCTAATAATAATAATGTTTTCATAGGCTCATTGGCCACTACATAATTCTTTTCTTAAAACAAATCTACCTGAAAATCATTTGCTCCATTTAAAACTGGGCTTTGCCCTTTTATTGTTGAGTTGTAAGAATTTTTTTTAACCAGAAATCGAACTCAGGAACTTGTGCTTGCCGGGCAGGCACCATACCACTGAGCTATGTCCCTGGCCCAAAATTTCTTTGTATGCCTAAATTTTATAGGCTTTTTTTTTTTTTTCACCTAGCCTGGCAGTCTCTCTCTTTTGATTGGAATGACTAATTTGTATTCCTTTTTAAAATTATTTTTTAATTTTTATCGGTACCAGGGATCGAACTCACGACTGCCTGCTTGCAAAGCAGGCGCTTATGCCACTGAGCTAAATCCCCAGCCCAGAATGACTAATTTGTAACAATTATTGAACTATTTGTCCCTGGCTAAACAAGAAACTTAGTGAATACATAGCTAATTTGTAAACTTCCTGAACTTGGGATATATTCGGTAAAGCATAAACAGATCCATCAGCAAAATGTAGAAATCTTACTGGTTCAAGATGTTTGGTCAATTATTGTCTTAGTGCTGAATTATACTGACCCAAGACTGCTTTACTGAAAGGCAGGCTTAAAAATAAAAGCAAATACAATTTTAAAAAAGAAACTGAGCAGAGATATTACTAGTTAGTACACTACAGGAAATATGTAATCTACAGGCTAATCCAAGCAAGTTACTAAACAAATAAGCAGTCAAAACAACCAATTCTGGAAGAAGACAGTGTAAGAACTGGGGATTTCTGTAATATGTGATTAGAAATATCCAGTTTTAATAGAATATATGAAACATTCAAGTAAATAAGAATGTTTATCCCATACATAGGAGAAAAAGGAATCAGCAGAAATTGTCCTTAGAGCTGAGTGTGGTAGTACACATCTGTAATCATAGCACTTGGGAGGCTGAGATAGGAGGATCTCTGCCAGTTTGAGGCCAACTTGGGCTACATAAGTAAGTTCAAGGCCAGCTTGCACAACATAATGAGACCCCCATCTCAAAAGAGAGAGAGAGAGAGAGAGAGAGAAGAAAAGAAAAGAAATTGTCCTGATAGAAGCCTAAATGTTGAAGTTAGTAGACCAATATTTCATTATAAAAGGGTATCTATAATAAATATTTCAGAAAACTAAAGAAAACCATGTTTTAAGCATTTATTTATTTATTTATTTATTTAGGTCTTTTTCCTTTTTATCAGTACCAGGGATCGAACTCAGGACTGCCTGCTTGCAAGGCAGGTGCTTATGCCACTGAGCTAAATCCCCAGCCAGTTTTAAGCATTTTTAATATAAAATCAAATAGAAGACCAGGAATGGTGTTATTCCCAGAGGCAGCAAGATCTCAAATTCAAGGCCAACTTAGGCTGCAGAATGAGACCTTGTCTCAAAAAAACCCAACCAACCAATCAACAAATCAACCACCACCACCATCAACAACAAAAGACCCAAACCCCCAACCAAATAAATACTATCAATAAAAACATGGAAGTTATTAAAATAAGCAAATGGAACTTCCAGAGTTAAAAAAAAAGTACAATAACTGAAATGGAAAACTCACTAGATGGACTCAACAACAGATGTGAACTGGTAGAAGAAAACTTCTTCAAGCAACAAGTTTGAACTTGAAGCTAGATCATCGGTGATAACATAGTGTGAACTATAAATGAAAGGAAGCAGAGAGCTAGGAATTCTTTTGCTCAGACAGGTCACCAGGAATCATGGGGGCACAGGTACAACTTGCATTGCTTTTCTGGCTCAGACTGTTGGTGGGGGTCACAGTGTTTGGATTTCAGAATATTTTCTTTTTCTTTTTTTTTTTTTTTTAAGACCACGTCTTGCTAGGTTGTGCAGAGTAGACTTCATCTTGTAATCCAGGCTGGCCTCAAATTTATGACAGTCCTCCTGCCTCAGCCTCCTGAGTGCTAGGATTACAGGTGTGCATCACTATGCTCACCTGGAATATTTTCATGTGTATTGTTTATGTGAAAATGTACAAACATTTGAAAAAGAGAAGTTTGAGAGCCAGGCATGTATAGCCCCATTGCTCAGGAAACTGAGGCAAGAGGAGCATGAGTTCAAGGATGTTCTGAGCTTCACAGAGATTCGGGACACAGGTGCAGAAAAGCTGCCAAGCCCTGTGCCTGACGCCAATTGGAGAGTGCTGTCTTCAGTTGTGGACTGAGATCGAGGATTCTGATGGACAGTCTAGGTCTGCCCTCGGAATGGGGCCGTAATGGACAGCAGTCACCAAACCTGCAGCAGTGGCTGTGAGCCTTTTCCCTGGGCTGCTCTGCACTCCGCTGGTGGACTGTACTGGCTTTCTTACTTTACCGGCCCAAACTCACTCTGCGGAACTCTGCTTTCCAGAGCACTTCTACTTTTTTTTTTTTTTTTAACCTTTAATAAATGTAAAACTTGTATGTTTTTCTGCTTGTCTTATCCAATTCTAAAAGAGCAGGACAAGAGCCTTGGAGTGGACGCCACTGCCCCCAGCACCTGTTAACAGCAGTTTTGTTTTTACTTAGAGCTTTAAGAAGGAGAAACTAAAATCCAAGTGTGGGAACGTTCTGTGTTGTGGAGGTGTTCACTGAAACCCCAGACTTCCTGTTTTGCCATTGTCACCCCAAGGGACCGAGCGTCTTTAGAGAAGTGAAGGTGCTGCTGCAGCGGGTTTATCTGGGGTTCGGCCATCTCCCCCCTGACTCAGCACAAGTTCCCACTCGCTATGCCATTGACGAGGAGAAGTCACAGAATCTTGACGCTCATCAATGAGGACCGGTCTGGCCACAAGGCCACATGGTAGTTTGGGCGGTTTCCTGAATGGGGAACTCGTGCTTGGTCCAGTGGACATGGAGGCAGAGAGACAATGTCTTGCTAGGATGGCGCTCTGGGCCTCCTCAGGTCCTCACATGCTGTTGATAAAGCCTCCACGCTTGCCGTGACCCACACGGTCAGTCCCTGGCTCTGTGACAAGGTCCTTAGAGAAGAGGAGGTGCATGCTCGCTCCTGAACCAGGGGGTGTGTGAGGTGAGGGACGAGGACCGTTGTCTTTCGCCCTGCACTTTCCTGACTGTGTGCACTGCTGGCTAACGTGGACTCTTTCTCTGTTTAATTTTCACCTCTGAGTGAGTTTGTGGTACTTTTGAAGCAGCCATTAACACCATGAGAGAAAGCAGCATTTCTAGTAAAAATCCTTGTGGTGCCTAGGTAAGGAATGATGCCTCAAATGGAAAGAGTGAACTTCTTCCAAAGTCCCTGCCTCAGCTCCTTCCTTCTGGCCCAGGGTGTTGCAGGAGGAGATGCAGGTGTCTTCCTGCAGATTGTTCAAGGAAAGGCTGGCGCCACGTGGTGGTGCATAGTGCCAGGAGGAGACCCAGCAGGACAAACCCATCCGGCCCTGCCTCTGGCCATGTGACCCAGCCTGTGGGCAGAACACTTGAGTTTTCTCACAGCAGATGTCCTGGTCCTTGCTGGTCTTCTCAGCAAAAAGGCAAGAAAGAGAAAACATAGAAAAGATATAAACAGAGAAGGGGAGGGGGAGAGAGAGAGAGAGAAGGAGAAAGGGGATATGGGGAGAGGAGGAGAGGGGAGAGGGAGAGAGAGAGAGAGGAGAAGAGAGGAGAGGGGAGTAGAGGAGAAAAGGTTTCATCATGCAGAGCAAGTCTCAACCTGCAGGCCATGCAGTTCCGGAAAGTGTTTCTTTTCCTGTCCTCCTGACTCCCAACCCTTGTGCCAGCTCCGTGTACACAATGGCAAGGCTTGTTTCTTCCAGTCTCCTGTGCTCTACTTTTTGCTCATAAGACCCACTTACAAAACAGGGATTATAAAAAATTGTGCTCTGCTTACCTTCAGAAGACCATCCAAGAATTTGCCAATGATTGGATGGGTCGGTGGAAAGTTAATTTTTTCCAAAGTTTCAAGCCTTTGAAAGTGACTAAGGGGGAAATCTGCAGGTTCAAAGTTCTTAGAGCTATAAACATGCAGAGTCATGGTGTTCGGCTTTGTTCTATCTCTATACGCCACTTCTTTCCTTTCTGGTTCTGTCTTACTGTATTTTGCTTTCTCAGACAGGATCTCACTACGTAGCCCCACGCTGGCCTTGCACTTGAGATCCTCCTGTCTCAGCTTCTGAAATGCTGGGATTCTAGGCATGTGCCACCACTTTAACCAATACCCTGGTGCTGTGTGCTGGATGAAGTGAATTCCCCTGGTATGTTTGTTGCTGTCTCAAGAAAAGGCAGAAACCACAGCTTGATTGGCTCTTAGACTTTCCTGTGGCAGAACTCACACAGAAAATATTGAGTCAATCGGACATGATGAGGACTTCTGATGAACTAGTCATTTTACATTTTTTCATGTAATTAAATTGAGAAACATAAAATACAAAGTGTAACAGTTTCCATATCTAATATTAAATGTACATGAAGGTTCCAAGTAACATTTTCCCATAATTTTATCTCTGCATATTTAGCTCATAAAGGATAACACTGTTTTTCTATATTGGGTGTTTTTTTTGTTGTTGCTTGGTCATCCTCAATTCTTGGTCAAGACTTAAATGCAAAGTTCTTCAAATTCATGACAGTCTCTATCAACAAGAAACTTTTCACAAGTAGGTGATGAAAAAGTTTTATTGATGTTTAGAACCGACGATTTAAACATTTTTGACAGCATAAATCATCTTTACAGGACCTGGTGAGCTTTGCTTTGTCTTTCACTGACAAAATGTAATGCTGGCATTTATTGGAACTGTGCTGACCCTTTCCAAACCCAGGAACAATTTCTCCCGGACTATTTCACAGTATCAGAAGAGGTGCCTGCCCTGGAGACTGGGCTCTGGACCAGACCAAGACCAGGGCAGTGTCTCTGAGCCCTATGTAGGCCTGGAACCCTGGGTGATCCCTGTGGTAACACTCGGTTCCAAGGATGCCAGTGACCCTCAACAGGTAACACTTCAACTCACTGCCATGGTCCTCTGTCCTACAGTAAGATGGTTCATCCAGCCTCTGTGTACCCATCTGCGGAGTGGGGATAAGAGTAGTACCTATCTGGGAGACTTGTTATGACTGGCACGTGGTAAATGGTACGTTTATTAAATAAAACGAGGAAGTCAAGCAGCTCTGCGCGAGACCCCTGCTAAGGGGTGGATGAGCGTCTTACAGAGAACAGCATGGGGGCTTGAGGAGGCCCTCAGTTGCTGGGGGTACCCCAAGGGATTGTGTGACCCTGACCTGTCCTCTCTGCTTCCTGGGAAGCAATGTGAGCACTTACTATGACAGGAGCTCACACTGATATGGTCACCTGCCAACCTCATCGGAGGCCCAGCCAGGGGCCACCTGATATGGATTGGAATCTCCAGATTTTGAGTCATGTAAACCTTTAACTTATCCGCCTTAGTAATTGGGCATAGTAAAGAGAAGCTAACTAGTGCAACCTCCAAACAGACGCTTAATGAAATGCTCTACCACTCTCTGACTCTACTGTAGGTCCAGATATGGGCCGTGATCCTGGCTCAGCCATGCCAAGAGCACGGCCACTCGTGGTACAGTGACCCACAGGTGAAATGGGACAGCTCATATAACACACTCGAGACATGACAAGTCCTTAACTAATGAAACAGGAGGGTAGGGTGTGAACTGCAGGGGCTGTGCCCTTCTCTGCCAAAGTCGTACTCTCTCTTATAGCTGACTATAAATCTTTCCAATCAGAATATATATATATATATATATATATATATATTTTTTTTTTTTTTTGAGACACGATTCCACTGTGCAGCTCAGGTTAGCCTTGAACTCACTTGAACTAGCCTTGAACTGGCCTGGAACTCACAGTGAATCCTCCTGCCTCAGCCTCCCAAGTACTGGGATTATAGGCATGCGCCACCATGCCTGGCTTCAGATTATATTTTTCAGTCCCTTGGTGTTGTTTACTTCTCAGCTACAGATCCTTGGGTGGTTTTTCCAATTCTCTAAAAAAGCAGCACCGAGAAGGGTCGGGGTGAGAACCAGCCATGCAGGGAGAGCTTGGCAAAGCCTTGGGTCCAGCGCCCAGGCTGCTGGACCACTGTTGTTCTGAGCTGGGAGAACGTTCGACACCCTCTCATTCATATTTTATTAGGAAGTCATCAGAAAGTTAGTCAAGTATAAAACTTTACACATTAAGTGAACCACTGCTATGAACCCACGATTCACTAAGGCACATCTTACCTCCTCACCAGGAATGAGGTAAAATGTGGCATTTCATTTTACAAATATCTTCATATTTAACAGCGATGAACAAGAACTTAAAAAAGAAAAAAACAACTTTGTACAACTGTTAGCACTGAGGAATAGCATAGTCCTGCAAGGTAAGTTAAATAGGTCACCTTTTATTAAAATACAATATCTCTGTCTCTTTCCACTATATACATATAGTTTTTTCTCCTTAAATAAATATATTATGTATTTTTATTTTTTAATGGCGCGGGGGAAGCACGGGCTCCACCACTGAGCTACACCCTCAGCTCTGTTATTTGTTTGTAATGAAGACTTACTTGACAACATTCAGCTGGTGCTCTGGGGCCATGGAATTTACTGAGCTTACAAAACAAATACTGTACTAGGAACATCAAGCAGCTGGGCTGGGGACACACACTTGTAATCCCAGGACTTTGGGAAATTGAGGAAGGAGGATCCAAAGTTTCAGTCCTGCCTGGGCAATTTAGCAAGACCCTTTCTCAAAAAGAAGGCGAGCTGGGGCTGGGAATGCAGCTTAGTACAAAGGCCCTGGGCTCAACTGAAGTTCAGATAGAAACACCAAGCAGAGCGGAACCCTCCTGAGGCAGAGGAACACACTTGGCCTTGGCACATTGTCCCTTGGCTTGGCTCACAACAGGATTTCTGACTCTTCCGGGGAGTCATCTGCAAACAAAATATCGTCGGGGGCTGAGTTCCCCGCGGGCAGCGTGCTGCAGCGGGACCAGGAGACCCCATTCCGCCCCAGTAGGTCCTCCGGGCAAACCCTGTTCTTTGCCCCGGGCACCGTAGGAGAGGGAGCAGCAGCCTGGTCATCCCAGTCCTCGCCGCCTGCATTCAGGATGTACCGCTCCTCCTGAGGTTGACTCTCATGGACCTCCGCCTTGACCACGCTGACCGTGGCACCGGGAGCGCAGGACGCAATGATGGAGTCGGGGTCGATGTTCATGTCCAGCTGAGCAAGCGCCAGGCCCTCTGCCAAGCCGTCGCAGCCCTCGGGCAGCGGGGTGTTCATGTAGATGACGGCCGCTTTGTCCTGGGAGTCAGGCAGGCTCTCCAAGAGCTTCTCCAGCTGCAGCCTCAGCACCGAGAAGGTGGGTCGGTCCAAGGGGTCCGCGCTCCAGCAGGAGAACATGATTTCGTACCTGGAAGCGAAGAAGAGGTGAGTGGTCTGCAGACTGGGCACCTGGCTCCCTAAGGACAGTTGGCGGTGCCAGCAGGCTGGCTGTCTGTCCTCATCCAAAGCTCTCAAGGGTTCCCATCACCGCCTCAGGGCCTCCCACCTCATGGTCTTCATGTAATCTTTAATTTAATTACAATGTAATTAGCTTTTTTGATGGAAATTATCTAGATTTTCTTTTTCTTGGCCCGATGTTTATCCAGCTTTTATAAATGGTCCTTGGGCATTTGTCAAGAAAGTGACTCTAGTTCCAAGGACAGCAGATGTATAAAGTAACTATGGCTTCCTAAACACATAAGCAGTATTTAAAACCCTTTCCTTTGGAGCTGGGTATGGTGGTGTACATCTGGAATCCCAGCATTCAAGAGGCTGAGGCAGGAGGATCACTGTGAGTTTGAGACCAGCCTGGACTATAAAGTGAGCTCAAGACCAGCCTGAGCTGCATAGCAAAACCCTGACTCAAAAAGACAGTAATAAAACTAAAAATAAAATAAAACAAAATAAAAAATTCCTTCCTTCCTCCCTTCCTTCTTTGCTTCCTTGTTTCCCAGTAGAAGTCCAACCCAGAGGAACTCTACCACTGACCTACATTCCAGGCCTTTTCATTTTATGTTCTTATTTTGAGACAGGGGCTAAGTTGCCCAGGTTTGGCTCAAATTTGCAACCTTCCTTCCTCAGTCTCACTAAGGGCTGGAATTATATGCATGAATCACCACGCCTAGTGGTCTTTTCATTTATACAGAGTTTGGCACCCTATGGCCCATGTTCTATTGACTGCTTTGCAAATCCCATTTTATTAGAACACAACTACCTCTATTTGTGTCTCGTGACTACTTTTGCTATAGTGGTTGTATGAGAGGCCCACAAAGCCAGAACTATATAATATTTGGCACTTTACAAAAAAAAGTCTGCTGATCTTTACTGGATATATCAAAGCAGGCTGTCATCACGGGAGCTGTTAGGTGGGGCACAGGTGACCTTAGGGATAAGAAGGCCAGGAGCTGGGGTGGCACATAGAGGGAAGGCATGTGGAATGGAGCATCCCCTTCCTATCAGCCCTGTCATTGTTACCTTGTGCATAATTAGTGCATTCTAGGATGCTGTGGCACGTGCCCTGGCCATGCAGGTAGCAGGGGGATCGGACTCCTACTGAACAAGTCTTACGCCCAAGTGCTTTTCATGATCCTTTCTGGCAAGTTCTATAGGGATGGCCTTCTCCTGAGTGGTTCCTTCATTTCTGATGTCTACTATAATTAAGAATTATAAAAAAGGAGCACAATCAAGCAGAGACATGATCATTAGGAATCACTAGCAGATCAAAGGAGTGAGTTATATTATCTTTTCATTTTGATCCTTTCCTGTTTTGAGAAATTGATATTTAATACCATTCAATTAAAAAAATGACCTGGATTTAAATGATTTAAATGATTTGATGTCTGCCATACATTACTGGTATTTAAGAGCAGAAATAAGCAATTTCCATATTTATATTTAAAAGTCCTTTGGCTAATTCTAAAGTGATGTAGCATGCTGCCCACACAGATGCCAACCTTGCACACTGATAATGTTGTCTTTTTGTCTACTTCTTCAGTCTTTCGCAACATTCACACACTCTTCCGGGAGGTGGGAACTCTCGAAGTACCACGCCCATGAAGGGACAGAACCTGAACTTGGGGCACCAAGCTAGAAGGGTGCACAATTGCCTGCATCACAATCCCAAGTGTCATTTAAGGTACAGGAGCTCTCTTTCATTTCCCTGTAGTACCCTCAGGAGATGGTAACTGGGGCTTGGCAAACAGTTTTTGTTTCTGCTTTTGAGGTTTTCATGGTGTAAATCAATTTTGCATGACTCCTTGTTTTCCACAGAGCCCTGATTGTCTGCAGTCTGAGATGAGCTTGGAGAAAGTTCCGTCCTTAGGGGCACGATGTCTTTTCCTTACTTCACCAAAGGGCTGCTCCTATTTAATTTACTTTAATTTGTTCTGTGTTTGATGAGAAAGTATTTAAATACCTTATGTATTTTTTCACCTGGAATAATAGTAATAGCACTTTGATACTCCTTTTCATCTTCTGTCCAATACTTTATAAAATATAAATGTGAAGACACAGTGAGCATGTGTACTGTTTAACTGACTGCACAAAAGAGTGATTCCATGGTGACCCAAGGTGATTAACGGGAGGTCCTGTGCCTGGATAGCTGATAGAAGGGCTGGGATATTCAGTGATTTAAATTTTAAGGATAGAAAAAAAAATAAGATTGGTGATTGCTGTTGTAAATGGTCAGTTCTGTTTTTCTGCTGAGGTTTTTTAAACGATGTAATCGTACAGGCTGCAGTGGGACGGGGAAGGGAGGGTTACTCAATGGGTAGAGTTTGAGTTGTGCAAGATAAAAAGAGTTCAGGAGATGGATGGTGGGAATCATTACGCAACAGCGTGAAGGCACTTGGTGGGACTGAGATACAGGCGAAGTGCTTAAGATGGGAAAACCGAGTGTTGCGTCCATCCTACCTCAATTTTAAAGAATGCTGTCAGATGATGGCAGGGCAGTGCGCAGCTGCAACTCTGCTCTGAGAAAGGACACCCGCTTTGTATGGGCTGTGTGCCATGCCAGGGTCTGATCCTAGCTGCCATCTGGCCAACTGTAACTCTCACCCCTTTCCTTTTCTGGGCCCCTGGTTTGTATCAGGTAGAAGGAAAGGGGTAGACAGGACTCTACCCACAGGGGCAGGAGGCTGTGAGCTGAGGTCCATAGAGGCAGTAGCCAAGGCAGGACCAGCCCTGTGCCTACCAATATTTCAGGCTCTCAATGCCCAGATGCAGGAAAGCTGAGGTGGGCACAGGATGTGTGTGGGAGGGTAGAGATGAGGGACAGTGCTGTGAGGCATGGCAAGGAGTCCTATGGAGGAGCCCCTAATTCTGATCTCCTAGGTGGACAACAGAGATGGGACATTATCAGTGAGTCCTGCTGTGTGTGGGGGCTGCTGTGCCTTAAACGTTGACCCTCCCAGCAGTGTCACTGGGAAAGAGATGCAGGTCCCTGCCCAGTAGGGCAGCTGAGGTTGGAAAGGAGAAAGACTGGGAAGGACCTACTGCCAGCCAGGGGCAGCGCCAGCCCACCCAACACCAGGTACCTGCTTCACCACTGACTGTGAGCCAGCATGCAAAATACTTCCCTGGACCTTGGCTCACTCAGCTAGCACACCTCGCTGTCACATGTTATCTCCCTTTTACATTCGAGGAACCGAACAGGGGGATGTTGTGTCCCAGGACAGGACTGCAACTACCTCCCAAAACAAGGGGAACCTGGGTCCAAAGCCCAGCTTCTTATCCCTTAGCCACATTGCCTAACACAGGTGAGAGCCTGACAATTTTGGGTTCACTCTAAAGACAACAGGGAACCACAGGTTGATTATGGCTAGAAGCATGCCATGGTCATATTGTAATGTTTTGTATTTGTTTGTGGTGCTGGGGGTGGAACCCAGGGTCTACTACTCAGCTAACCCCAGCCTTGGATTTTTAATGTGAGAGGGGCTGATGCAGTTACCACTCAAACAATGTATGAGGGGCCTAGGGGTGAGAAGAAGGGAGAGCAAAGGACCCACACACTCCACTTGCTTACCCGCTAATGCCAGATGCCATGGAGCCCTGGGCTTCACGGTGTGACAGTATCCACCATGTGAATAGAAGAGCAGGAGGGTCTGGAAGGGTATCTGCAGGCTGAAGGGGTCCAGTGGAGCAAAGACAGAATAAGGCACCTCTCAAGGACCAGGGAATGAGAGCCATTGCTGGGAACCATGGCAGCAAAGGTGATGGGGAGGATCCTGAGGGCTGCAGGGTGGACATGAGCTCAGGGGGACTGTCCCATGGAACTGGGTGGAGGTGCTGCAGAGGGGGGCACCTTGGGGAGTAAGGAGCAGTCTGGTCACTTGGAGATGGTGATACTGCAAGGAGGTGGCTCCTCCAGGGCAGGGTCAGACAGCAGGGTGCAGAGGGGCTCTGAGTGATAACGTTCTGTTTCTCAGAGTCGACTTGAAAAACCAAAGGGCAACAAAGCACAGCTATGTTTATGCAGCAATCCCAGCCGAGAGGCTCAAAACGTTCATTTCACTTATTAAAAGGAAATGCCCTGGGATTGGAAGCACAGAGCCCTCTCAGGGACAAGGCTGCTTGACAGCACCGAGAAGTGAGCTGAGATCAGGAAGGAGCTCTGCTCACCAGCGTGCTGGCCACAGGACTGTGGGGGAACTTAGCCTGTCTGCGTCTGCCTGGCTCCCCAGCCGCCCACGGGTGCTGACTCTGCCACCCTGCCACCTAACCATCTCAAAGAACACGGACTCAGCATCCCCTTGTCTGAGGCTGTGTGAAAACATCTAAAAACCACCAAGTGACATAGCTCAGACCTTGCCAGGACCAAGCTCATTGCTACAAATGTGAATTTCCTTTAGTGCACATGGAAAAGAAAGAGAGGAATTGCAACAGAATCCTTCCCAGGCAGTATGGTCTGATGCAAAGTCCTCCTCATTTTCAGAAGCAAACATGCTTCTGACTTTTAAAAAACTACCCCGAAGGCCGGCATGGTAGTGCGCACCTGTAATTCCAGCACTTGGAAGGCTAAGGCAGCAGGATTGCTGTGAGTTCAAGGCCAGCCTGAACTACATAGCAAAACCCTGCCTCAAAAAGACTAAGAATAAACAAATAAATCTATCCTAAAACCCTAGAGCTAATTTAATTAACACTTCAAGGTGTTTTTAAGGAATTTATAATGTTTATTTCTTTTTTTATTTTCTTTCTTTATTTTTTTTTATAAAGCCAGTCAAATTTAGCAGTGGTGGGGTGGTATACCAACTTTAGTGACACTAATGTTAATAAGTTCTGATAACCCACTGCCATCGGACCAGCCTATAATGTTTATTTCTGTGTAATATCAGACAGCCACCGAGAATGTTTAAATTTTTTAAAAAAATGACAGTAAAAGTCACACTGCCATGAATCCCTCTCAGAACACCACTCAGCTCCATTTCCAACACACTTATCCTATCCCTTTGGCCACTCTCTGAAGCAGTTCTGCGAGTCCTCTTCTGTTTGTGTCTTTCTATACTGTGATCAACCATCTGGCCAGTGCCACTGAGTGCCATCCAGTGGAAAGGCAGGCTCGCAGAATCATGACAGTGGGGTGTCCTTCGCTACCTTCTCCACCCACCCTGGCAAGTTCCCCAAAATCAGTCAACTTCTGACTCTGCCCCCAAGTAAAAGCGAACATTTTGAATCAATTCAGGACTTCGAGGGAGCTACGAGAGAGAAATTAAGGCCACTCAGGGAAGAGGATTTGAGGAGCTGCTTCAGAAAGTGGGGGGAGCAAAAGCCCAAGCAAGTTCATTACATTTTTTTTTTTTTGTCTTTTTCCTTTTTATCGGTACCGGGGATCGAACTCACGACTGCCTGCTTGCAAAGCAGGCGTTTATGCCGCTGAGCTAAACCCCCAGCCCAGCCCAAGCAAGTTCAAAGCAGACAGGAGTACTGCGAGAAGGATTAATGGCCATGTGTCTTTCACTATGTTACATTAAAAAGAACACCACAACCACTGTATTTTTTTTTAATTACACTGAGCATGGTGAGAATGCCCCTCTGCCAACCTGGGGCCCTTATAATACGGGGAGGAGTCTCACCATTCAGGAAGAGTCACATCGCCAGGCCACAGGCAACCTTACACCCGCTGTGATGGACAGGGTGGCAAGGTGCTCGGGAGAGATCAGTTTATAAGGGTGCTAATAACAGCTGGTATTACCCCACGAGGGTTTCTTCTGTGTGCCTCCTACAAGCTGAACATTCTGTACAATTCTTTATTTAACCTTTTTATAGCAACTCTCTGGAGAAAATACTGCTCACTACTTTTGTAGCTGGTAACATGAGGCACAGCAGGTTAAGTCAGCTGCCGTGGCCGCACGCATGGTTAGTGAGGAGGCAGGACCTGGCCTGTTCACCCCAAGGTGTGAGTCTCTTCTCCATCACATGTGGCCTTGAGGACAGAGCGGGCTCTGCTGGGACAGGATGTGCACCGTGACTGGAGCTGGGATGGCTTCTACCTGGCTAAGTACTATCTTATTTCTAAGTCTATTTTGTACCAACAGCATCACAATCTCCAGGCCCCCAGCAATTCTGCTGACCAGCCTGGTTCCAGAGTCACTGGCTCCTGTTTCCAGTTTCCTGAGGAAGGATATAAATGTGATTCGTGTGTCTGAAATGCTGTACATGATGAGTAGGTTAAGGGGACCCGAGGGAGGTAGGGAATCAGTCCAGTACCTCATGCATCCAGAAACTAAACTTATTTACTGGTAGGAAACTCTTCAGACATCTGCAGATGTCCCCCTCTGCACATGCCCACCTGGCTAATGGCCCCCAGGCCCCAGTGGCTGTGTGTTCCTCAGGTCTTTGCAAGTCAAGTGGCTACGTGTGCGGTATCCCCAGTGACACAGGGTACACTCCTCACTCACAGTTCATCCAGGCAGTCCTCGGGCTGCTTCAGCCTGTGGCCGTGGAGAAGGTAGTCATACATCTCATGGTTCTGGACTCCCGGATAGGGGGTCATTCCCCGTGTCGCTATTTCCCACATGGTCACGCCAAATGCCCACTGAGAACAACAACAACAAGTTAGGATGCGAGTCTCTCCACCAAGGCTGAATGGACCTTTTCATCGGGAAAGGTCACTTCCTTAATGTCCTGATGACCATGCACAAAGCTAGCAATTATGTCTGAGACCCACTGCTGTCCCAGCAGGGCAGCAACGTGGGGTTGGAGTGTCACAGTTCCCCATTTTGATGAAAGCTGTTCTGGGAAATTTCATAAAGGCAGGCACAGCCTCATCTCACATGGACATTGCTTAACCCTCGGCTTTGCTGTTGTGGTGTGTTTTCCTGGGCCAAGGGTATAATTACACAGCACCTCATAATATAGCATATAGTTTCAAAGAGGCACCGATCATTAACTCTCTGAATTTATGTGGATATGAAATATTTTAAGTAGTGGGCAGTAAGTTACTCCTTTTATAGAAAAAAAAAGAAAGAAAGAAAACGGAAAAGAAAAAATTAATGAAAGTCCTATGAAACACACAGATCTGAATGTCAGGACATTTCATCAGAATCTTCTGTTCGGTCTGAATTAAAGCAACTGGCAAGAAACCACGAGTTCTGCATGTGTTCCCGCTTCTCATCTTGCAAAAGGGTGGAATGCCTTGCAATACCACCTCCCCTCATTTCTTGCTGAGTGCCCCCACCTTGGCATCCAGGAACCCTAAATCAAAGCCATATACACACCACGTCGCTTTTACTTGTGTAGACTCGGTCTGCGAGACTCTCGATGGCAATCCACTTGACAGGCATCTTTGCAATGCGGCCTTGGCGGTAGTAATCGCCGCTGTAAATCTTCTTGGAGAGGCCGAAGTCGGCCACACAGACAGTCATGTCATCACGCAACCTGCAGAGAGCAAGTTCAGGTCCTTAGCAACCTCGGAAGCAAAGCACGTATCAAACGCAGCTGGAAACTACTGTCTTGCCTGGCTCTGGTCTGGGTGGGGACTGGCCCAGAAAGAGCAATCGTGCACAGCAGCTGGGGACATGCATCTAGGGCCCCAGGAGCACTCCTGGCTGGTGCCTGGAGGTGTCAAGGCCCTGCGGAGCAACCAAGTCCCCAGGCAGACCAGGGAGGAGGGAAATACATGCTGCAAAGGACAGTCAGGCCACTCGGTGAGGAGGTCAGGTGGGTGCTTGAGGAACTCATTGGAAAATTAAAGCAACATAAATGCATTTATAATCCAAGCTATTTTTTTTTCTTTTTTTACCGGTACTGGGGATCAAACTCACAACTGGGCGCTTACAAGGCAGGCGCATATGTCACTGAGCTAAATCCTCAGCTCAATCCAAGCTACTAAAACAGACCCTGGACAAGAAGGAGGAAAAGAAGAAGAGCGGGGAGAGGAAAGAGGGACAGGAGGAGAAGGAGGAAGAGGAGGAAGAGGAAAAGGAAGAGAAAGGAAGTGGCTAGTTTGTCCCTGTTTGCTCGACATGAACGTTTTTTGTTTCTCTGAGACTGCGCTGAAGTCTTGAGCCTCCTGCCTTTTTGTCTCCCAAGAGCTGAGGTGACAGGCATGTGTCACCACACCCAGCTTCTGCCTGATAATGACTTTAAAACTAAAAGTCCCATGTCCTGGGAAATCTCTCAGTCTAGGGCAAACTGGAGAGCTGCTCAACCTACCTGGTTGGGAAAGATAGAAAGGAAATGTTAAAAGAAAAAAAGGTTTTCATGATTCTCTCCTCCATAGCAGAAAAGTATTTAAATGCAGTAATAATCCCTTTGGGATTTTAAAAAATGAGGTGATGGGCTGGGGATTTAGCTCAGTGGCATTAGCACTTGTCTGGCAGGCACAAGGTCATGAGTTTGATCCTGGTGCCAAAAAATTTAAATTAAATTAAATTTTAAAATGAGGGGAAAGAAAAAGGACATGGAGGAAAGTTGAGAGGAGCAGGTGGCAGGTGCCACATCTCTGACCAGGAGAAAGAAACAAGAATATAATGTTAAGGGAAATAAGGCGGACACACAAGCTTAAATGTCACATGCTTTCTCTTAGCTGAGAAACTTGAAATATATAAACATATAAATAAAAGAAAAGAGAAGATACAGAAATAGGAAATAGGGGGAAGTTCAAATGATTCCCCAAATTCTCTATTCTGTCATTTCAACCATATTTCAATAGATATGCTAATTTGTTTAATCTATTCTGCTAGTTTTTCTTAACTCATTGAAAAGAAAGTTTTAGCCAAGTGTGGTGGCACATGTCTGTAATCCCAACATTTGGGAGGCTGAGGTAGGAGGATCATTGAGAGTCTGAGATCAGCCTGAGCTACAAAGTGAGCTCGAGGCCAGCCTGAACTACATAGCGAGATCCTGTCTCAAAAAGACCAAAAAAGGAAAGAAAGTTTTGTGCTACTTTAAAAAAAAAATGACAATATATTCAAGGCCCATTCCCTCTTGCAACATTTAAGCTTAAAAGGGAGAAATAGTTACTGCCTTTGAATGTTGACAGGGATAATGGCTCTGTTGGAGCAGACAGAAGAAATGGGGAGAATTAAAAGTCCCAAGTTCTCATACAATGAGCCCTCACCTGGTGGGCTCATAAAGCTTTCCTGACCGCACTCATCAGATGAAAGTTCTTTACATGGAAGTAGCAGGATGAAGTAGGAACGAAATCTTTACAACTTTTACCAGTGTCCCTAAGGTTATGCAGGTCATTATTTATTATTGCCATGATGTCACTTGACATAACCCTGGATGCAAAGCCAGCTGAGGGTCACAAAGATCACATCTGGTATATGTAGTTGAGTGAGAGGTGAAAATAAAAACATAACCACAGGAAAAAGCTTTAGAGACCAACCAGACTCTTGGAAGCAGTAACAGTGAAGACCTACAAACAAAACCCTCACAAGGGTTAGGGCCACAGAAATCCCATTCTAAGCAAGCAGTCCTGTCCCCTCCCAAACTAGCTTCTCTCCATTTTAGGCATTGTAGGCGAGTGTTCTACACACTGAGCTACACCTCCAGTCTGCCTCCCTATTTCAACAGCACTAGGCTGTCCCCACCCCAGTCTCACAAAGAACGAACACCATGAAGCCCCAACACTGTCCACGATGGCCCCCGATCTTACATGCAGTTCCGAGCAGCTAAGTCCCGATGCAGAAAACTCCTGTTGCTGAGATACTCCATTCCCAGTGCAATGTCCACCATGAACCTCAACAGCGTCTGCAGGGGAATATGCTAGGCGTGGAGGAAACAAGAAAAAAGACTCACTGGAAGGAAAGCAACTCTTAAAACTTTTCAGAAAATAGCACATTTTCTTCTCCTGTCTTTGTAAGCATTTACAGTGATTGACATTTTGTTCCTTTTCATAAATTACGAGGCCGGGGGCTGGGGATTTAGCTCAGCGGCATAAGCGCCTGCCTTGTAAGCAGGCAGTCATGAGTTCGATCCCTGGTACCGATAAAAATGAAAAAGACAAAAAAAAAAAAAAAAAAAAGTAAAAAAAAAAAAAAATTACGAGGCCAAAGATGACCCACAGTAGCCTTGTGAGTAGCATATGGTGCCCGTGCCAGGCAGAAGAGAAGACGAGGGTCTGGGTCCAGTAAGGGCAGGCTGTGTGTGATGGAGAGCTACAGAGTTCGGGAGGCAGGGCTGTTTCGATTATTTACTCATATCTGCTATCATTTTTTTCCAAATCCCCCGTCTCCTGCCTCCCAGTGCTGGGTATCGAACCCAGAGCCTCACACACACAGCCTATGTGCTACCCCTTTATTTGAAATGGTTTGAAAGATGTTTGTCATGGTTTATGTTGGTGGCCCCAAGGCCTCATGCATTTGCGTTATGCATTTGTGATTGGTTCATTGTCTAGCGCTTGGATTGATGATGTCAGTGCTACACCCACATAGGGGTGGAGCCAGCATACAATGTAATGCAGGGAGAAGGTGTGTGTGTGTGTGTGTGTGTGTGTGTGTGTGTGTGTGTGTGTGTCTCTCTCTCTTGCTGGTTTCTGCTTGCTGTTTGCAGCTGCCATGAACTGCAGCCCCACCATGCCACCCTGCCTTGGAGCCAACTGAGTATGGACTGAAACCTCCAAAAACTGTAAGAAATAAACCTTTCCCTTCCCAACTTTGGGCATCAGGTATTTTGTCCCAGTGATGAGTAAAAAATAACTAAGACAATGCTTTTCTTCTTCCAGTTGCAATCAAGCTATTCTTCACCCTTTATCATGGGACCAAAATGCAAAAAAGTCAGCAGTATCCATTTCATTTCACTAGAGACATCCTATAAGTTTCAATAGTCTAGCATTTTCTCTATGTTGCAAAAATCAAAGTAGAAAATCTGCCTCTGTTATCATTATAGGGATAACCAATGAAAACCTTCATGTAATAGTGAAATATTTTAATGTAGTGATGGCTTCCTGCAAGTTCCCGGCTACCATGAATGGATCCACAGCATCTCTCTAAGGCATTGGAAAAATACCCTGTGTCTTTGTGAATTAGGAGACTTAATTTTGTTATGATGGTGATACTCCCCACATGGAGTTGTAGAGTCAATGTACGTCCTATCAGAATAGCAACTGTTTCTCTGTAGAATTTACTAAGTTGATTCTGAAACTCATGTGAAAATATAAGGAAGCCAAAATAAGCTTGGATAGGAACAAGCTTCAGGACTCACACTGATTTCAAACTTGCTACAAAAAAAGTAATTCAGACAGTGTGGGAAGGAGGTAAGGACAGACATACAGATTAACAGAACTGACTTGAAAATCCATGAATAAACCATATAGAGCTTTCAATAACGTTTCAAGACCACTGACAACAGAGAAGAATGTTCTTTTCAGGAATGGTTCTGAGACAAGTAAAGAATTACATGCAAAGGGTGAAGCTCCACTTCTGCCTCAAACCATACACAAAAATCAACTAAAATGATAGAAAGACGGATCAAAGACTTAAAAGTAAAAGAAAGGCCTAGATTTCAGAACCCCTAGAAGAAAAGATAAGGGTGAGTCTTTTGTACTTTTGGATTGGTGATGATTTCCCAGATATAACACCAAAAGTACGAGCATCCCCACCAAAAAAAGATAAACTAGGCTTCATAAAAATTAAAAGCATTTGTGCTCCTAAGGACACCATTAAAAGAGTGAAAAGACAACTCACACAATGGGAGGAAATACTTGCAAAGCATAGATCTGATTAGGATATAAAACTGGATCTAGGACACAGTCAAAACTTGCAAACTCAATAATAAATACACAATTAGTCTCATTAAAAATAGGCAACAAATCAGAATAAACACTCTTCTAAAGAATGAATACAAGTAGCCAAGAAGCACTTGAAAAGATGCTTGAAATGATTGGTCATGAGAGCAATGGAAATCAAAGTCACCCTGAAAAAGTGATTCATACTTACTGGAATGGGTAGAAGAAAAAAGTCAGATAATCAGAAGTGTTGGTGAGGATGTGGAGAAACTGGGACTCTCCTACATTGCCCGTGAGGAAGTAACATAATGTAGCTCTTTTGGGAAACAATCTGGCAGTTTTTCACCAAGTTAAACATTATTACCATCTGTGCCAGTAACTGTACAGCTAGACCTATACCTAAGAGAATTTAGAGCATGTGTCAGTGTAAACACATTTACAAAAATAATTAGAGAATATTCCTACAAACTGCATGAAAAGTAGCATACCCACACATGGAATATTCCTGAGCTGTAAAAAGGAATGAATTACAGATTTGTGTTACAGTATCACTGACCTTTGAGAACATTAGGCTCAGCGAAAGAAGCCATTTACAAAATAGAATGAATGTATATGGTTCCATTTAAAGTAAATGTCCAAAACAGACAAATACAGAGAAACGTAAAGTAGGTCAATGGTTGCTTAGGGCTCTGGGGAAGAGGAGGGTTGGGAGGGGGTGAATAAAGAGTGTGGGTTTGGTTCTTTCATTCATTCTTTCTTTTTTCTTTTTGGTAAGATGATGAGAGTATCCTAAAATTGCCTGTGGTGATGGTTACACAACTCTGTGGCTATACTAAAAACTACTGACTTGAGCATTTTAAATCTATAAATTACATAATGCTTGAATTATATCACAATAAAGCTGTTTTTAAACAAACAAAAAAAGTGCTGTCCCAGAAAAACATGCTGTTCCTCTTCAAGGAAAGGTAGAGGAAAATGGAGGAAGATGTGGGGAGGAGTGCAAAAGCTTCTCTCCCGGTCTCTGGAAGCTGTGTGTAAGGCTGCGATGGCTGGAGATGTGGCTGCCATCTGTAACCTTGAGGACGGCTGGTCACAAATGAAAAGCCACAAGATGGGACCTGACACCTGGACCTGATATCAGGACCTGATACCTGATAATGCTGAGGACAGAACTGTTGTGTAGGGCAACTCTGGAGCAGTGTTACCACTGGGCTTGGTCACGGGGGATCCTGTATCTCCTTCGAAAAGGCCATTCTAACTGGCTTTGTTTTTCCATATTGGAGAAGTCACATTTCCTGCTGCAGACCTCAAAGGCACATCCTGCCCTGCTTTATCACTCACCTTCCGTCCCTCTACCACTTCGCTTTCCTCATCACACAAGATGCCCTATTTCCTAAACCACCGAGCATGCTCAGATCGCTCATTCTGTTCTTGGCTATGTATTTCTCATCTTTTTCCATTTGGTTCTCACCGCTTGGCTGAGGACAAACATGACGGCAGTGTGCAATATTAAAAAAAAAACAAAAAGCCCCACTCCGAATTCATCTCCTCCCCGAAGCTCTAAGCAGGCTGTTGGGTGCCCAGGTCACTGCAGCTGCCACCCTTGTATTGCCAGCTTCCAGGACAATGGGTCACCTGGTCCTGTGCCTTCATTTCCGCACACTTCCAAGGGTGCTGTTCACCCAGCGGGCAGGGTGGCACTTGGGGCCCTGTGGGAGTGGCCTGCTTACATGCCCTGGGACCTAGGCTACAGCTACTCCGGTAGGAACAAAAGGCCTTTATTCCCGGGAAATTGACCAAACCGACAGCAAGGATTTGAATAAAAGCATGATTTTCCAGTTCATCTATGCACTCTGTGTCTTCCTCTTTATCTACAGCTACAAAGTATCAAAATACAAAAATACATCCTTTTTCACATTTATAACTGAAGATAGCCTTGTATTTTTTTCAAATGGAAACTATTCATTAGTTAGTAAAAGGCTGTGGAATTGGCTTCCTTCACTTGTTATTTTGTTCAAAAGAATATAAGATCACAGCAGAATCTTTGGCAGCCACAGACAAGCTGATTCTAAAATTTATCCGGGAGGGTATTGAAAGTAGGACAGCTAAAACAATCCTGAAAAAGCACAATCGAGTGGGAGGAAGTACACACTGCTGCAATTTTAAGACTTACAAAGCAGCAAAGCCTTGGGAGCGAAGGATGGGCAGGCAGTTTCATGGAACAGAAAGGAGAACTCAGAAACAGATTCACATGTTTTCAGCCAGCGAGATTCAGACTAAGGCATGCAAGCAATTCAGTGGAGTAAGGACATGCAGTCTTTTCACAAGTCATGATTGTGATTATCCATGCAAAAATCCAACCCCCAGGGGCTGGGGATTTAGCTCAGCGGCATAAGCACCTGTCTTGCAAGCAGGCGGTCGTGAGTTCGATCCCCGGTACCGATAAAAATGAAAAAGACAAAAAAAAAAAAAAAAAAATCCAATCCCCGACAAAACCAAACAGAAAAGCCGCCTAGCACCCCGAATTAAATCTCACACCGTCATAGAAAATGCAACTCAAAACAGGTCCTAGATGCCAGCGTACTATGGAAAAACCCCTACGCTTTTCAGAAGAAAACAGGAGAGAAAAACCTTAAAAAACAAAAAACTAGGCTTAGACAAAGAGTTCTCAGACACGACAGCAAAATGCATGATTTGCGAAAGGAAAAATGTAAGCAGGTGTTTTTAGTTGCACTCACCAGAGTCCTGCTATGGATGGCAGCTAGGGCGGACAGAGGAGATTGTGTTAGAGAAGCCCAGGATAGACTGAAGGGCCAGCCACTCCCCAGGCCTGTGCTCTTCTACACGGTGATGCAGGAGCTGCCTCAATCCTCATCAGGGTGACTAGTGCCACAGGCCAGCCCCACCGTGTTCTCACAGTGTCCGGGTCAGAGCCCTCCTGCCCACAAGTGCCGCTGCTTCTCGCACATGGAGAAGGCAAGCGAAGAAAAGAAAGGGGGCAGATGCTCGGAGAGGCAGGACACAGCTCACAGCTCCTGCTCAGTCCACAAGAAACAGGGCAGGAGGATGTGGTTTTCATTCCGGACCGGTAGGCCCCAGTGCAAGGTCTCCATCAACTATGGGCCGAAGCTGTAATTCATGAAGTCAAACCTGAAAACTGGTATAAGGAGTCTTCTCTCTTAAACTTCCTATGTGACCTGTCACTGCCGCTACAGTGACATTCCGCGCTGGTAGACTGCCCCATCCTTATGGCTGGGAAGCCTAAATAGCCAGGATAATGTTCCCGACGCTGTAAAAACGTCAGGTATGCAGTCCTCTTGACTCACTGTATTTAACTACAACTGACTTTACAACTGATTAACTGTCAAGAGCCACTCTTATTCCAGTATTTTGGGAGGCTGAGGCAGGAGGATCACAAGCTCAAACAGAACTTGGGCAGTTTAGTCACTTAGTGAGAAATGGTCTCAAAACAAATAAATAAAGGGCTGGGGATGTAGCTCAGTGCAAAGGCCCTGGGTTCAATTCCCAGCACCACAACACAAAAACAAAAATCAGGAAAGTGTACATTCATTAAAAAAAAATTAGGCACATCTCTAAGGATGAAACCTAAAACATGGAGAAGAGCTCTGTAAATTCTTTTTACCGAGAAAAGTCATCTGGCCTTGAACTCATGATACTCCTGACTCAGTCTCCCAAGTAGTGGGCTGAGGACCTGTGTTACCACGTTGGGCTGGGACAGCTCAAGGCCTTTCCAATACCAGCGAGATCTGGGAGCTTAGGGCTATGAGGGGTGTGAGGTACAGACTGGGAGCCGGCCTCCGGGTCCCAGAGTCATTGAGGCCTTGAGTACAAGCCGGCACAGCCGGCTTCCACCTGCCAGAAGACAGAGAGAGAAACACCCACGAGCAGGCCTGCTGTGAGGGCAGACACCACAGTCCAAGCCCCAGGCGCACAGGGGTGCTGAACAAAGCCCTCTCCTTTTCCCCTGCATCTTGCAAGTCAGATCCGGGGCTGCCCCATGGAAGGAAGCCCGGAACCCTCCAGGGGCCGTGCCAGGGCCCGTTACCTTTGGTCCCGTCTCCAGCCGGGAGTACAGTAAGTAGGTGTGCAGGTCCCCGTATTTCATGAAGGGTAAAATCACCATGGGCTTCGGGATGCCCTGAGAGCTCATTTCGATACACACGCCTGGAATTAAAAGCAGAACCAGTCACAAAGGGCCCTTGTTACCGGGCCCAAAGAAGCCCTGGAGGCCCAGTGGCCGAATTGAAACAGGAGCTGCCAAGCAAACAGCCCAGCGGTTTTCTAGAAGATCACACACACACACACACACACACACACACACGCTGTGCTACGTGTTTATTTGCCTTTTACTTCTTTCAGATTAGGGCACATAAGCTCTCAAAAACATCAACCCGTAGTAAATTAGATACAGCCGCCTAGATCCCCAGGAGTTTTTGTTGGACTGAATGTGATTGAGGGTAGTGACCGTATTAGAATTCAAGGGCAAACCAGCTGCATGTGATAGTTAAATACTGAAGTATGAAGAAATCCACTGCAACCACTTAGATGCTTAAAACTATTTAAAAGAATTGGGGGGGTGCTGGGGTGCAGCTCAGTGGCACAGCGTGTATTCGTTGGTTGGGTTCAATCCTCAGCTGTGCCCCTCCTTTGTGAGGGTCTGTCAGTGAAATCCACTTCCCCAAATTTCAGCCATTATATAATGAGAAGCTACAATGCCCTTTTACCATGCAGTTCCAGAACCAGTGGAGCCCATCACCTGATGCTCGGCTCACAAAGCGCTTGCACTATTCCAAGCAATGACAAAGTACAATTGTTCTCAGAGTCTGCTAAAACCAAGAGCCGCAAGTGAAGAGGGGCTGTTTCTTTGACATAATATCTAAACATTTGTTTTCACATCTTCCTACACTGTGGATCTCAAAGGAATGTGAAATATTCCCCCAAAGAATTTTATTATGCATCAAGCCACAGGGCAGAAGCAAAAAGTCAGCAGAAAGTTTTCATTCTTGGTATGTGACTCGGGGGTAGGACACTTGCTGAACGGATATGTGGCCCTGGGTCAACCCCCAGCACTGTCAAATTAAAACAACAACAATAATAATAATAATAATAATAAACTTACATAGCACCCATTGATAACCTCATCTCTTTATCTAACATGAGTTACAAAGCCAAATGACATCAAACCCCACTCAAAATACTCAGTGGTCAATGTACCACCATACATCAGTATTTTGAAACATGTCCATAAATTAGTTCTCAAAGATGACTTACTGAATTTGTTAACTTTTATTTATAGCTTTACCTCACTGCTATCTAATTTATGCATAAACTTAGAGTGACAAAGATTGTCATGTAACCAGTTTGTGCATCTTTGCCTTTGTGGGGCTCTTGTACCTACGGTCTCGAGCTCTGTGGACACTCTACCCACCCCTGAGCCCGAATGCTAATCCATGTGGGCCTCAGTAAGTGGAAGCATATGGGTAAATGTTTTGGGTAAGAAATCCACACATTTTAGGGGTTGTGCAATGTGTAAACTTATCATGAACTGAAGTCCTTTTCCTCTAGCGCATAGTACAGTTAGCCAAGCCTCCCTGGCCCCTCGTCTTGCATTTCCCCAAGGTACCTAGAAGTCGGATGACGTTAGGGTGGCTGAAGTCTTTCATGCACGCTGCCTCACTGAGAAACTCTTCGATCTCCCGCTGTGAGAAGTTGTTCACTAAAAAAGAACAGATGAAATACATTAGGTGCAGATAATTTGCTCAGCTAAGGGGTGGGGCGGGTAGTAGCAATTTCGTTCTCTAAAACTAAAATCCAGAAAAGGCACAGCTATACAGACAGAAAAGAAACCAGTGGTTGTCAGGGGTCATTGGGGTTGTGGGGAGTGAGGAATCCACAGGCAAAGCACAGGGGACCTGTAGAGCCATGAAGCTTCCTGTAAGATACTAGAGTGGCGGACATAGGTCTTCTATGCACTTGTTGAAATTTATAACCCTATACAACACCAAAGGTGAACTCAAGTGTAAGCTAAGGGCTTCAGTGTGACCTGCATTCATCAATTGTAAAATATACACTATGCTATTGGAAAATATTAACGAAAGGGGAAATGGGTTGTGGGAGAAAGGCAATGTATGTAAATGTTGCAGTTTCTCCCAATTTTTATGTAAACCTAAAGATGCTTTAAAAATTAAAGCCTATCTATAAAGAAAAAAAAAATCCTACGCAGTAAGTCAGTTCTGACTGATCTGTTGCGTTTATTTTACCTTAAAAAAGGTAAGTCTCAACTCTCCCTTTTGGTCTCTATTTCCTGTAAATCTGCTTGTTTAGTCACCCCTCCTTTTTTTTTTAGGTATCAGGAATTGAACTCAGGACCTTGCACTTGCCAGGCAGGCACTGTGTTGCTGAGGCTCTGGTCTTGCCCCTTCTGAGTTAGGTGCACTTTGATATCAAGTTTTCCAAATGAAATTAACTTAAGAAGGTTGTTTAAAATTCAGTATTATGCTCATTATGAAATAAAATCAATCACCAGAGGATAAAGAATTGCGTTTATAGGATACAGTAATCAAATCAGACAGAAGGTAAAATAGAGGTGGCTAGGAATTGGGAAGAGGGGAGGGGAGTCAGTGTTGAAGGGGCATAGTTTTAGGGTCACAAGATGAGACGTTCTGGGGATAGCTTAGAGATGGTGACGGTCACACCACAGTGTAAAGTACTTTGTGCCACTGACCTGAACACCTAACAGTGGTTTCACCTTTTACCTGCTGTGTACTTTACCACCTTTAGAAGCAAACGGGTAAGTTGCAAAGGCAGACTGTGCTAGGGAAGTGAACAGGGTGACATAGAGGACTGAAATCATGCAGGAGCGTAGCTAGCACAACATCTGTGCCATTCTGTGGACTTCATGTATATGTGAGTCTTTTTTCTATTAAAGAAAACTTAGGACAAACATTTTCAGATGAAGAAGTGGCCTGATCACAGTAGAGATCAGCCAGCCCAACTCCTGGGGTCAGACGCTGCATCGGACATCTATCCCTGCCTCAGAAGCTCGTGCCTTATGCTGGAGTCATCAGCTCGAGTGAGGGTTGATGCAGACATTGATGATGGTGGTGGCGTTAGTGACAGAGGCAGACAGAGAATGATAGAGATGCTGAGGGTGACTAGTGCTTGGTGTGTGAGGAATACGCAGTGCTTGCATGCAGAGCAGCAGCTGAGACCCACACGCCATCCTGGCTTCATGGAGCACTCAGTGCTGGAACACCCGCCCGCCACAGCAGCCCGGCTTCCCCATGGACCACTCACACTTCATGGTCTTCACCGCCACCTTCTGAGAGGTCCCGTCTTGCTGTTTCAGATTTCCTTCCATCACAGACCCGAACTCTCCTGGGAAGCGAAGCAGTGCCCATGTGGCCACCGTGCCATCTTCTGTGCGGCAGGAATGCCACAGTAGCGGGGCTGATTTCATGCAGCCCTGGAGCAACGTGCCAACCTGCCCCGGCCTCCCATGTTCAGAAACCCCTGCACCCACTGCACGCTCGTCTCTTGCTTGTCCTGGTCTTGGGTGGCTCAGCCTTGGCCTAGCTCGTCAATTTGTAGAGCATTTAATTGACCCAAGAGTCTTACAGGAGAACGTGGGGAGTGGTATTGAGGTTCACAAAGCACAGACTCTAATAGCATCACCATTCGCCCAAAGAACTATTTAACAAATGAAATATGTATTTCATCTTTGTATCTATGTGTGAACATCAAGACAGCCACAATAGCACGACCAACGACACTCACAAACAAGGACTTCCAAAACTGCCTCAGAAAGTGGCAGCAAAGGAGGAAAAGTGCTTGAAAGGGACAGGGAGTATTTTGAAGAGGATTAGGGCAATGAGTCTTTTACTGTAACAAAAGTTTGAAAATTCTAATCATTCACCATACACTTTGATCATACCTCGCATTTAAATAAGAAGGTGCCAGGGATAATCAGCTTAAGAACTACAAGAATACATTTAAAGAGCATAAGACGCCAATCAATAAATTGTACACTTTTCAACGAAGGGAAAGAATGAACATTTTTCCCAATCTCCTGTGTGTTCTAGGCACCATGGGGACTGTTTTTACCAGCCAATCTGAGTTTCAAGAATCACTAATCTACTGTAAATTAGTAGGTAGAACTATTTGTATTATAACTCAAAGTCATCAAAATGGTATTTTATTTAATCAGAACACATATTTCAAACATTCTTCTCAATTGCTCCTTCTTAGCCCACATTTTAAGAGAATTACTGTAAACTGCTTACCTTCCCCCAGAATTTTTCCAAGCATTAGAAGATTCCTGTCAATCACGACATCTTCTAGTTTATTTTGCAGTTCCTCACTAACTCCCAAGCTGTGTACTATGAAAGTAACAAGATACATATCAGGATTGTCAGTGTGCTGTCTTTTAAGTTCTGCATAATGTTAAAAAAATTTGTGTCCATTCTTTTTTATATGCCAGGATTAAAACATCACACTTCATTCCAGTGTGTTTAAAGTAAGTAAAATGAGTTTTCCAGGGCAAAATTAATTTTGAACAACTATAAAAAAAATCAGAACCCTATTTCTCTTCCCATTGCGCAGTAGCAGCGGCCAGCAGACTCATGCAGAGGGGTTCCACTCCTGACATAAAGGGGTAAAGAAAGTAAGTCAGTAGGTAGCTGCTAGTGGATTATTTACTATTTATAACCAAAACTTTGGTATATAAAAGAGCTGTCAGGACACTTGCCCTGCCCAAAGGAGGCACATGACCCACAGAAAAGCCAGAGAACAAGCTGTTGTCCTACCTATGGTACAGGGCACCTCACTAAGGACACAGGAAGTGGGAAATGGAACACTTTGAGGAACTGGAGAATAAGATTGTCTACAATAAGAAATGTAATATAATAAAGTACACAGCACATATGTAGCAATGACTAGAATTGTTGTCAACGGGAAGAATTAACCAGAACAGGGGAAAATGATTTTGTAGTAATTTGGCAAATGATTCAGTCTGAGCCAAGTTAATATATGAGTTAAGGTCTTTGAAAGAAAAAAATGTATGAATAATTCGAAAGGACACTAGCTCCTAGAAAAAAGTATCCAAATGGTCCTTTATAAAGGAAGAAATTATCTAAATAAAGAACTTTTAAAAATGCAAGAACAGAGACATCTAAACATCAAAACATACAGATTAGAAAATTTAAAAAAATAGAAAAGAGCTTCTGCATCAAGTGAGTTTTGATTTCACGGCAGCCTGTGTTCCATCACTGTTCAGTCCTTTTTGTTTTGTTTTGGCAAACATCCGGAAGCACGAATTTGATAGCGTTTATATACATTTTCCGCACTGCTCCTGGAGTTACCGAGAACGCTGTTTTCTGTTTACCCTCCTTTGACCAGAATGCCTCACTCTCTGATTCAGCAAAGTTCAAACCATAATTGCTACAGAGCATGTTAGCAATTGTCCTCCGAGTTGTAGGACAGGAAAACAGGAAATGAGACTTGAGGTTCTGTCTATTGCTTTGCTATTTCCTTTAAATCCCAGACCTTTACCCTGTCTCCGATTGCCTAGAAGGTTCCTCTTTATCTTTGAATTTAACGCATTGTGAATTCTGAAATCTGGTTTCTTAACTCCAGATTGCCAGTAACTAACCCAGCCAACAGAGATGGATGTGACAACATCTGTTTACTTGCTAGTTTCTGACATTTTTTACATCAAAGGGAATTTTTATATTAATGGGGACTGAACTCGGGGCTTTTTACTTTGAGACAAGGTCCCACTAAATGGCTAACTTGCCCAGGCTGAGCTCAAACCTGTGATTCTCCTGTTTCATTTTCCCAAAGTGCTGAGATTACAGGCACACACCACCACACCCGGAAAAAGGATCCACTCAAACTCCTTCCATTTTGTTAGAAACCTCTCTGCTGTTCAGACTTTTTTGGCTCTCCATTGTTTCAACTTTGGCCAAAAAATGGAAAACAAAAGTCAACTTACAGGTAAGTTCAATAGCTCGTCGACAGTAGGACTTCTTGGCTATATAATTTACAACTAATTCAGAATCCTCCTCTGTGAATGCAGTCCTGGATGGATGAAAATAAGGTATTTCACTATGCAATAGGGCTACACACGCTGATTACCTTCCCCCAGAATTTTTCCAAGAATTAGAAGATTCCTGTTAATCACAACAACGTCTAGTTCATTTTGCAGTTCCTCACCGACTCCAAAGCTATGCACTAAAAAGTGACCAGGTATATATTGAGTTATCAGCATATTTAAATCCTATAATTTTCAATCCCAACCTTTTCCAGAATACTACAACTGAGTTCCCATCAGTTAATAATCTAAGATCTATTTCGATACTAAATTCCTAAGTCTGTGGAGGCTTAGCTAATAGAAATATTTTCAAATGAAGCAATTTCTTCTCTATTTCTCAATTGCAAGCCTTTAATCGACTACACGTGGGAAGCCCCATATCTGACTTGCTCATTTTTCTCTCTCTAGTGTCTAGAACAGGCTCCTTCCTTTCTCCAGAACTGAAATTCAATCCTCAATCTACATTCAATTCCTAGCTATTAATGCATACCCTGTCATGGACTGGGTCCTCTCTGTTTACACCAATGCCAAACATGCCTTTATGTTTAGAAGGAAGAAACCAATCTCCTCCGCTGGACTTTCACATATATTTGTGTTCCAGATGGATTTCCAAATCAGCTTACCACGTTTTACCAACAACCCAGCACCAATTTTGAAGGCAATTACACTGTATTTGAGGTTCATCTGGGGGACAGTAATCTGCTGACAGTATTGGACCTTCCTATCCATGAACATGGTATACATCTCTCCACAGATTCATGTCCTCTTCAGCAGCATCAGTAGAGTTTAATATTTTTTTTTCCAAAAAGCTCTTGCCCATCTATTGGATTTATCCCTAGGAATAATGTACTTTCTCATTCTAGCACTTTGCCTTTGATGCATTTTAAAACCGGAATAAAAATATTTTCATGACAATGTCCAAAAAAAAAGAATTTCTTCCTAAAGAAAGCAAGAAAGGAGGGAGCCACGGCCAAGATTTCAACAGTGGCAACAGAAAGACCATGAGTTCTCAGTGGCTGGGACCAACGGTATTAAGATGTTCTTTAACCTCTTGGCAAAAGTCTCAAAAGTCAATGGAGCATCCTTTACTGTTGTACCTCATCCCTCTAGGGTTATCTTAGCTGCACATTTTAGAAGCCTCCTGGGAGTTTAAGATCTCCAGTAGGAGCACTGGCTACCGCTTTCTTGGCTTTGTATTTACTGACTCTACCTATGAGGTGGTCTCAAGCGCATACGGTGGTACCTTGGTACCCATTATTAATTAGTGCTGGGAGGTCCGGTGAGTACCAAACAAATTGTTTTGGCTGGAAAGAGTAGTGTGAGTTACAGACAATGGACATTGACAAGCTCCAGCTCTCTTGGAGAGTACCAAGATACAATTCCCACTCAAAATGTGCCAAATGGGCTGAGTTTCAAAGCAACTGAGTATCAAGATATGATCATATACCTGTGAATCATTCTACAGCTATTGTCTCAACAATATTACTCAGGAATTCCCACTTGATGACACAAACCACCTCTGCCACTAATATTTAAGACCATCAGCATTTTAAGGCCATCTCTTTACTGCTGACTGAATATAAAATTAGAATGGCAGTGACCTTTGAGACCATTCAGACATAAGATACCAAGGAAGCCTGGAAAAGGTAAAAGGCTTATTTAAGTGACAGAATAATGGTGGAACCCAGGTGTCACAACTTCAGTCCAATCCTTCCCTCCTCTGTGTGCCTTCTCTATGTACCTCCATGTACCTTTCCGGCTGGAATGCTCTTTCCCTTTTCCCTCACCTAATGAATGCCTGCTCTTTCTTCAGATCTTGAGTCAGGTGTCAGTCACCTGTGTAGGTCTTCCCTGACTTTCTTAAGTCAATTTCCCCTGGTACACACTCTTACGGCTTCACACAGAATTTACCACAGTTGTCAGTACACTTACTTGTGTGACTGCTGGACCATGTCTGACTCCCCATGAACTGTGAGTCCCCAAAGATAGGATCTTGCTCCCCATTGAGCCCCAGGCTCCCACAGTGCCTGGCTGCTGGTGTATGAAGGAGCTGCTCTCACACCCTCTACAGAGGTTCTCTACACTCATCTCATGGTGAGCTGCCCACCTCACTCACGACCTCTGATGCATTGTGGTCAACTCTTATGTTGATGATTCAGATCAGATTTTGTTCATTTCTTCAAAAGTAGTCATTCTTAGAATTTATATACAAAGATATTGTGATTATAAGAAAAGAGTTCCAGGAGCCATAGGTAATGAACCCCAGTGAAGGGTAGTTTGGTCTCCACTTGAAAGCCCCTTTCCTTGCCCGTGAGAAGTCTTGGAGGGAGTGTGAAATCCTGAGTGCATTCAGCAGACAGAGCAATGAAAAAAGGCTGCTCAGTCCCTAGCATGCACTCCCTCCCCAACTCTGCCCCATTCCTAGCTGTCAACAACTTGCACTGCAAAAAAATTTCCTTCTGACCCCATGATTGATGAAGTGAATCCCAAGGAAATCCAAACCCACTGCAGAGCCCTGGATTAAAAGCCAAGGTCTAGAAGTGACCTTTAGACACAGGTGTTTTCTTATAGGCTGCTTTGACCCAGCTTCTCATTTTATTTGGAATTTAACTGGTGTTTGCTATTAAAGTAAGATGCATAGAAAAGAAAACAGCCTCCATCCCTAATTGGAATGTTAAAATGTGAAGCCCTGTGTTATAAAAATAACTTATCAGTGTAGGACACATGCAAAATACAGCAAGAAAAGAGAAAAAAGAAAGCCTAGACACCTACAACGCTACCAGAGTTGCTAATAATGGTGAATTCATATATAAATATACAGTTGAGTATCCTTTGCCCAGGCTGATTGGAACCAGGGATGTTATAAACTTCAGGACTTTTCAGGTTGTAGAATATTTACATATATATAATGAGATGTCTTGGGGGAGGAGGATCCAAGACTAAACACAACCTTCATTTATATTTCATACATACGTTATGCACATAGCTTGAAAGTAATTTTATACAATATTTGTGATCATTTTCTGCATGAAACAAGGTTTCATACTGTAGCATCATTATGGATATTTAAAATGTTTTGGATTTTGGAGTGTTTTGAATGTCAGATTTTCAGATTAGGGATTCTCAGTACATATATCTATATATATATTTATATCTATTTTTATCAGTACTGGGAATTAAGCCCATGGCTTTCACACTGAACTATATCTATACCTTAAATTGTTTTTTCTTTTTTAAATTTTGAGACAGGGTCTTGCTAACTCACTAAATGACCCTTGTTGGCTCAAACTTGAGATCCTCCTGCCTTAGCCTCCCAGAGCTCTGGGATTACAGATGTATCCTTAATGGAGTCTTTTTTTAAGGCTTCTAACAAGTGCTTATTTAACAGCAAGCCTGTCTAAGTAGTGAATCCTACTGATACTCTTTTCTGTAGATTCACCCTTTGCTGGCTCTTGCAGGTGACTGCGGGAGCAGGAAGTGGCCCAAGACAGGAAGCTGCCTGGCTGTAGGGTGTGCACAAGCCTGGCACCCATCTGGGTACAACGTGAGGCTTTGTCACCTGGCATAACAACCTCCTCAGTATCACCAGACCAACATTTTTCATGGGAAACTTACCCAAACTTTGTCTCCTGCACTCTTCTTTTGATTGCCAGGGAAATGTATAAAATCAACCCAATCAAAACGAATGCACAGAAACAGCCGAGGATGATGAGCACAGGCTCGGGGCTGCCTGGTGCTGGCGTTGATGATGGGGCAGAGTCTACCCCACCTGGTAAAAGACCAATGAATGTTTCTTTGAGATTTGCAACACACAGGTAAGCAGAGTGAAAAACTTTTAGAACTAAGTTAATCCTTTAATTTTGGGGGGAGGCAGTGTTGGGGTAACACGGTCTTGCTAGGTAGTTCAGGGTGACCTTGAGTTCACTGTGTAGCTCAGGCTGGCCTCGAATTCACAGTGATTCTCCTGTTTCAGTCTCCCAAGTGCTGGGATTACAGAAGTGTGCTACCCTGCCTGGCTAATCCTTCAATCTTGCGATCTACAAATGCAGGCAGTCCTCCCTGTATAAGCTGAAACCACACAGAGTTTTCTTTTTCCTTTTTTTTTTTTTTGTGACACTCGGGATTGAATCGGGGCTTTTGCACTGAGCTGTATCCCCAGCTTCTTCAATTTTTCATTTTGAGACAGGACGCTGCCAACTTGCCCAAATGGGATCCTTCTGCCTCAGTCTTGCAGAATACTGGGATTATAGGCATGTGCCACTGTGCCCAGCTCACAGCACTCTTAATAATCAATAAAACTACATTGATTTAATCACTCCATAAAGCATCACAATATGCTCCATAAATATACACAATTTAAAAAACAATAAAATAAACAGTGGGGAATTCTTCATGTTAGTTATAAATGTACAGGACCAAAATAACTAGTAACAGAAAAATTTGCTTGATGCCTTATAATTTTTTTTTTGTCACATGCAGTTCAGGCTGGCCTTGGGCTCACTTTGGAGCCCAGGCTGGTTTTGAACTTGCAGTGATCCTCCTGCCTCAGCTTCCTGAGTGCTGGGATTACAGGAGCATGTCACTACACCTGGCGCTGGTGCCCTACAATTTAAAACATTAGATACATTAGGGATCTAAGGGTTATTTCTTTGTTTAAAAAATTTATCAATAGTATGTCTTCTCTATTACTGTAATTTATGGCACAGAAAATACATTTTCTGTGTTTTGGAGAATTATCAGACTCCTTTTCAAGTGTGGATCAACTTCTAGTGTTTTATATTTTGTTCTTTTAAAGTGTACGGTGCCACTGAGAACTCGTATAATGTAAAGTGTTTCTTTTCTTTTCTCTTCCTTTCCTCCCTTTACCTCCTTCTCTTCTTCTTTCCTGTGGCTCTGGGAAGGAACCCAGGACCTTGCTTTAGGAAGGCAAGCGCTCTACCACCGAGCCACACCCCCAGCCCCTACGGTGAAGTTTTTCGCTGGCACCACTTTCTCTAGGACACTTTCCACCCTTTTGTCACAACCACTGTATTCGCGCCAGGGAGTTACCCTTCCCGAAGCTCTCAGGCTGCACAGTGAGCCCAACAAATGGTGCAGAATCGCATCCTGCAACCCACTTCCATTCACATCAGACTTCACTGCGGACACAGAGAGACAACATAGCCGGGAGGCTTTGCAGGCTGTGCACCGGTGGAATGATGGGTGAGTGGCAGCCACCGGTGACAAATTTCGAGAAGAGTCACAATCATCACACACATGTGTGTTCACTCAGTGCCTTGTGGACTGAAAGCCAGCAGTGAGGTTTAACTAAAGTTGGAACTGTACAGCTGGGGAACTGCAGTCACTATAGTGACACATACTGGAGCAGCACAGAATGAAGACCGGCCACATAGCAAAGCTGGGACAACTGTTAGAGAGTTTATTATGCTTGAAGATGAATGTTCTGCAGGCTTAAGCCCTGACTTTTTAAAAAAACTGTTCCTTTAGAATCAGAATCTCGCTATCTTTGGATTTCTACTTGGAGCTGAGCCTCCGGACTGCAGGGAGGTAACAGGACTCCAACCCAGCCCTGAGAGGGAGACCAGCCCGAGGGCCACAGAGAACAGGCAGGCAGGAACTCGACCGCGGCCTCAAGTCCTGCTGCCGGGTACAAAGACTGTGTCTGACAAGAACTTGTAAACATGTAGGCCACACTGATAGAGATGTCTGCATGTGGCTTTTATGGCAGTGATTTCACAGCAAATGACTCAGGGCTATCTGAGTCAGGAGAAAGGTGGCTCTTCTAGTCTGTAAAGCAAGCCCAGCACTTGGGGCACTGGGGGCACTGGGGGCACTACGGGGACACCTTGCCAAAAGGTTCCCAAAACACACAGAAGCACACGTGGTTGGACATTTAGCTCAGCCAGCCCAGGGCTTCTGTGGGAAACACTTGCTGTTCTGTGCAGACCAAAGCACATTACCCATTGGCTGACTGGGTGAAAACAAGACAGGCGGCACAGCCTAAAACACAGCAAAACAAACAGTGGCAAATAAACGGTGTCAGTGACAGAGAGTGAAGGATCAGCTATATTCCCTGTCCGAAATTCAGTCACGTATCTCTTATTTAAAGTAAGTGTAACAAGTTGGAGTGGCCCTCTGAAAGCACCAATCTTCTTAATTATGTCACTATCACTAATAGCAACTGTAGTGGGACTCATGGGGGTGGGGGTTCCAGGAAGGGAAGTTTGTTACAATGACAGTCTTCATCACTGCAAAAATTCTTCCGGTCCTAGTTTTTCATTCTTCAATCAGCTGCCATGTCACTGGCTGCCCTGTGGCAGTCTGCGGTACCTGCCACATTCGACCTTGCAGCAAGGGCCCTGCTCTCACCCTGCACAGGGATGAATATCTTCACCGGGTCGCTGAAAGGCCCAACTCCTCCTTTAGTGACAGCTGCAATCCTCACTGAGAACGTGGCATTGTAGACTTGGACAGAAAGCTGAGCCCGGCTGCTGTTTCGGCCGACTTCTTCAGAGAGTTCTTTCTGCAGAGAGAAAAAAAGCAATAAAGTACTAAGAGGTGCCTGGGTGGGTCGACTGTTTGCCCCCAGCTCTTTCTGAGGAAAACTGAGTCACCCACGGCTTGTGGGGTAGAGGGCCTTCCTCGCCATACAGCCAGGGGACACAAAAGGTGAGCAGCGACCCCAGGTGGGCTGGCAACAAGCTCAGTTCTTGGGGATCTGAGTAAACTAGGGTCATGCAGCACTGAACAGTGGTCAGGAAAGAAGCTTCTAGAAGAAAAGGAGCACAGAGCAGTGCCTCCTGTGTGCAGAACCACTATGGCACAATGTCCCAGAGCCGCCCTGTCTGCGGACCCTGCCCACCTGCCAACTGCCTTTGAAGCAGCATGAGAGGCCTCCAGTTCTTTGAAACTGCAAGAATCTGAATAAAGTCCACATGGAGAAGGGGATGGACACTGCTTTTCTTTTTTCATATGTGGCAAAGGCATGACTTATTCAAGCTCCAAAACTTCGGGTTTGCTTTCATTTATGTTGTTTTAAAGGCACTGCCATGCAGCAAAGAGGCACTAAAACGCAGGGCAGCTGGGTGCTGGGGCACACGCCTGTAGTGCCAGCACTTGGGAGGTTCAGACAGGAGGATCATGAGTTCCAGGCCAGCCTAGGCTACATAGTGGGTTCAAGTCCAATCCAAACTACATAGGAGACCCTGACTCAGAAAAGAAAGTGCAAAAGCTAACCTAAGGGAAAGATAACCAGAACTAATCGTTTATATGACTTTTTTGTTTCCAAATCTCCATGAGGGCAATTTTCTCTGATGTGAGTAACAAATTTTATGTTTGGAGTTAGCTGTTCAAATGGAAATTGTAGAGCTTGAGAAGGCTGAAATGAAACTTAAGAATGGATGTTTACCTCCAAATTTTGGAAATGTGACTTCAGAAAGAGACAGGGAGAAATGTCATGTAACGTGGGGCACAGGTATCAGGGATCAGGCCTGTCTGGTAGTGACTTTATTCTCTGGTTACCAGGTCTCAAGCCAGTCACTTCCAGAGGTGACACAGGGAGGGACAAGCTTAGCCCTTAGAGGCCAGACTTACCTTTCAAGATCAAGGGGGCAGCTGGGTTGGCTCCCCAAGAGAGTATCTCTAAATCTAAACAGAAGGTGGTCATCAAGACACAGGTAAGAAATAAAAGTCAAAATATGACCTTAAAATATGAATGCTTTTCTACTGCACTGGACGTTGGCCCCACCAGATTTGCCATAGATCTTTTTGTTTACTAAGTAAACAAGTAAATAATTAACAATTTGGGGAGTGTATTCTGGTAACATCCTTTTTAGAAATAGAGCTTTTTAAAAAAAATAGTAAACCTAGGGGCTGGGGATTTAGCTCAGCGGCATAAGCGCCTATCTTACAAGTGTGCGGTTGTGAGTTCAATCCTTGGTACCAATAAAAATGAAAAAGAAAAAAAAATAGTAAACCTAGTTTCGATGGTTCATTCTGTCACTCTTTATTTAATCTGGGGGTAGGTGAACAGAGCATCCTCAGATACCGTACCTCCATTGTCCACACCCTATGCTCCTGTCACTGAGAAGTACAGAGTGTCTACTTCACAACTGACTACTGAATAGCTCGTCAAGGTATAAAACTTTATGACTGAAAAAGGACCAACACTAGCTTGCTTCTGGCTGTGTGGTTTTTCTTTTTCCTACATAGACATAAATATACATCATCTATGAGAAAAATGACCTCAGAATAAAAGGAAACACACAATTGGGAAATAATGCAAAGCCTAGAATAAAAGTTCTAACCAAAGCAAAATTATCCTCCTGGAAATATGCATAAAAGTGAATTCATTCCTTGGGACTTCCTTGAGGGATTAGTTCCAGCCACCTCCCTTGGATACCAAAATCCATAGGTGCCCAAGTCATTTACACATAGTGTTTGCATAGAACCTCTGCATAGTCCAGAGAAGTCATCTCTGGACTAATTATAATCCCCAATACAATGTAAGTATTGTACTGTGTTTTTCAGATTATAATGACAAGAAAATAAGTTCTTTACAGGTTCAGTACATACAACATTTTTCCCCTGAATATTTTAAGCTTCAAATCCAGGATACAGAAGCCATGGATATAGAGGCTAAGAAATACCTATTTACTTAGGACCCATAATTTTTTATGAAAATACAGACTACTTACACGTTCATTTCTATCTCTTATTTCTTAAGGAAGTGGACAAAGTTAAAGAGCTAACACGTATAAAGTGCTGGGAACAGTGCACAGCCCCAGAGCAAATATTACCCAGTGCAGCAGTGGCCTGGCTCACAGCCATTCTGAATCTTGAAGTATGACAGCCATGCTGGCTAAGGCTTACTAGTGACACATTCTAGGAATGTGTCAAGGGTTATGCTGCCTTAAAACATCCTTGGACACCTGGCTGGGCTCCTCACGCCTTAGCATAACACCAGTTTAAGAGACTGAGAGGAAAAAGGCAGTGGGCACATGTCACCCTCCAGGAGCATCCCTGTCACCCTGCAGCCACTGCAAGCTTATCAGGAGGCTGTGGACTGCGTCCAAAGAATGCTTGAGGGCACTGCAGCTCCCCTGGGTCTTTCTGGGAGTAAGTTCCACACAGAGTGATGTTTCAAGCCCATAACAATCTCTGCTGTGATGCCACTTTCTAATCTAAGATCTCCACCTGGCCAAGACAGATAAACCAGCATCTGCGTCACAATCCCAAAACAAGCTCCATAAAACACACATATAAGAATGCCTCCCCATCTAATGTTTGGGCAATTCTGAGTCAAGACTTATTTACTACAGAACGTGGAAAAGCCTTAAACTTGCCTGTATATACCGTAAGTTTCAAAAAAGGGAGAGTTAATACATAGCATTTTATAAATTTATTCACTAATGGACTCTTCTATGGAGGGTCCATTGACATTTTATGGGAATAGGGACAGAGTGGGATATGCCAGTCCATACTTCTCATAGGGCTGTCTCATTCACAGAAATTCTCCAGATAGTCAGGTATGGACTCACTGTGTGTCTCAGGCCCACACATTGATTCTACAGGACCGTAAATAACTACAAAGTTAAGTCCAAGGCAATACTGCCTGTGTTCAGGCAATACAGAGATAAGCAAGATGTGGCATGAACTTCAAAGTGAACAGATTTGTACTTGGTTTGCTTTTGGGTGTTGAGCTTTGATTTGGAAGGTAATGGATATAAAATCTTCATTGAGATATAATAATAATGCAGAAATACACAGTAAAAATCAGGAGGTTCTTAATCTGCAAATGACATAATATTTGCTGGCTGACACAGGTACAAATATCAATCAGTTTTTCACTGCTGAGACAAAATCTTGACTTGAACAAAGAGAATTATTTGGCTCAGGTTTCAGAAGATTCAGTCCATGGCTAGTGGTTCTTAGGCTGGAACATCATAGTGAAAGGACACGGCAGAGGAAAGCTGCTTAACTTTTGGCATCCAGAAGACAGAGAGCGTTGGTTAACCCACTTTTAATTCACTCCAATTGACAATCACATTTAACTGACACAGTACCAGTACCAGTTTTCAGTGCTGCTGCAAAAACTCACCCAAAGTCCACTTCCAAGAAAGTTCTGATATTGCATGCACACAAAAATCCCACTGTTTTGTAAGTAAGAAATTTCAAAATATTCAATTCTGCTACTCTGTATAAAGAAGTAGCTTTCCTAAGAATTTTCTAAAAATGGAAACAAAGGGCCATTTGGAGAGATGAACTTGTGTCCCAAGCCACGCCCTTCCAAGGCAAAGGGAGTTCTGGAAAGTAAAGTGACAGATGCCAAGATCACTGTGAGTTTCTCTTTGGCATGGGTGTGGACCCTTCTCAAGGTCTCCTCAGGGCTCTTTGTTGCCTCCAGCTAGAGATGATGAATTTCCCGGTGTCAGAATGGTCCCAAAGTCAGGTGAGCCACTAGGTCTGTTGTTGTCACAAGACCACCATGATGCACAAAGTAGAGTGAGCCCAATGCAAATGACTTTCTCACTGGGATGGTTTGGCATCTGCCAGGAGGTGATGACGGCAAAGGTCACAGCCCTAACTGTGGCGGTACTGTTCTCAGCGCAGACGGGACCTGACTGAACAAGGGTAATGGGCTCAGCGAGGGTTCATGACATTTAGTGCCCTGGTGATTACCATTTGACATGTGAGTGTCTCAAAACAAACCAGGGTGTTGCAATAGCTGCAGGAACCTTCTGCACTTCTATGGCATGGGTGAAAATAACCCTACTGAACTGAGGCACAGGCCACTGAACCTTTAGGCATCTATTCGAAGCAGTGAGAGAAGCCCTTTCCTAGGACAGCACACCCTGCAGAGAGCCAGAGACGGGGCTGCGGGAAAGACAGGCTGCTCTGGTGGCCACGATCTCAATGTCTGTGAAGCAGGGTCATCACTTAGGAGAGGCAGCACAACATGGACTTTTCTTTCTTTCTTGTTTTAAATTTTTTATTTGGCCGGGGATTTAGCTCAGCGGCCGGAGATTTAGCTCAGTAGCCATGGATATAGTTCAGTGACTTTAAAGTGCCTGCCTGGCAAGCACAAGGTCCTGAGTTCAATTCCTGGTACCATAAATAAATACATTTTTTATTTTTGAGGGAAGGGAGGGGGAAGGGCCGGTAAAAAGAATTAAGATGTGTCACATACATGTAACATCTCTCCAAGATGAATGTAATATTCATGTGCTGCAAACATGTATCAATTAAAGTAAAAATTCTTATTTTTAAGACAAGGTCTTGCTAAATCACTAAATTGCCCAGGCTGAGTATGAACTTGCCATCTTCCTCCCTCAGCCTCTCAGATTGCTAGGATTACAGGAATGGGTCACAATGCCCTGCTGTGCTATGAAATTTTGACTCAAATTTGTTCAAAGTAGCAGATTATTTAAAAATGTATTTACTTGCATTGTATTCCTTAAATGTAAAAACAGGTTAAACTGTAGTCTAGGTGGATTGTCTATGACAAACAGCAGCACCCTCAGTGATAAATAACTCACATTCCATAAACAGTCACCCCAAACCCCTTCAGAACCAGAGCTACGATCTTTGACTTAACCCATTCCAAATGTTTGATAATTGGTTTTAAAATTTTCCCTCAGCAGGCTAAGGCACAAAGACTGTAGAGTTCAATATCAGCCCAGGCTGAGACCCTGTTTCAACACCCCCATCCCCCAAAGTATCTGATTATTATTGCTAAATGTTCAACTTATTTCTTTGTCCTGTTAGGGATTTTTAAAATTTTTATTTATTTATTTTTTGGGTGTCAGGGATCGAACTCATGACCTTGCGCTTACCAGGCAAGCGTTTGAGCTGCTGAGCTAAATCCCCCACCCCATAAGGGGCCTTGTAATTAATTAGACTTACTGGTACATTTTAGATACACATAATGATCACACTCATCATAGCGAATTTGTACCATACATGACACATCTTGAGTCTCTTTTTCTTCCCATTCCCCTCTCCTCCTTCCCACCCCTCCTCCTCTTCTCATTTACAAAAGCTTTGTTTCCATTTTTCCTCTTTCTCCCTTTTTTCTTGTCCCTTTCTTCCTTTCTGCCTCCCCCTTTCCTAGTTCCCCTCTCCATTTGAACATTTTCTGCCTATTTCACAGTATCTATTATACATTTCAGTCCTTATTTACACTTCTGGTTTCTCACACCAAACAAATACTTGTCTGATTTATTTTACCTAAGAGCACAGACTCAGGGTCCCTCCGTTCATCCCGAAATGTCTCAGCTTTCTCTTTCCGCACGTATGGGTGGCCACTGTGTAAAAAACCCCTCCTCTTCTTTATCTATTCAACGGTTGGTGGGCGAGCACAACTGGACTTCTGAGTCCTGTTGCGGTGTCTCCACTCCCATCACCTACTGTTCTACTACTCCCTGATGGGAAGGAAAAGGAAAAGGACAAACCCTAAGATGATCTAACGACTTGGTTTTCTGGAGCTGCCTGCTGTCTCCGGGGTGCCTGGAGTGGAAGGGCACCAAACCAGCCGCTGCAGCTGCTGCAGTTCCGGCTTCAGCTCCACGATGCTTCCCTGGACTATGCAACACCCTGAGCCGGGGATTCAGCTCAGCGGCATAAGCACCTGCCTTGCAATCGTGTGGTTGTGAGTTCGATCCCAGGTACCAATAAACACACACACACACACACACACACACACACACACACACACACACTGAGTCATCTCCTAGCTTGAGGCATTTAGCAAACAATGGCAAGGCAGAGCCACCTAAAATCCCCCCACCCACCATCAGCATGACAAATTCAGAAATGACATATTAGCTAGTGCAGTCACTGCAGCTGCTGCTGCTCTGTGTGTGTGTGTGTGTGTGTGTGTGTGTGTGTGTGTGTGTGTTCTCACATACAGCAGCATGAACTGGAACAGAATGGAACCTATCCCCGCTTGGCAGTCACCCTGAAAGAATGGAGAGCTCGGTCATCATGCCAGCTACTGTCTTAATGAATTGTTTCAAACCAGCTCGTAACTGATGCCAAGCTCAAACCCAGTGTTTATGTTAGAATATGGCATATTGAAGAAAAGAATTACGTTTGAATCTTGCAGAAAAGGAGAACGATCAGAAGAAGCTTGGACGCTGGTAAAGGGTGCTGCTCGACATACTGTCTCCCAGTCCTGCTCTCATGTTACTTTTGTGGGAAGCACTGTTTCCATGGCATGAAGACACCCCAACTGGGATCCATCAGCAGGTTGAATGGGTCAGGAATCAATGCAGAAGCAGCATGCTTTCCATGAGCACAGGAGAGGAGAGAAACCCTGGTATCTGCCTTCCATGAAGAGCTTACATTAGAGTCAGCATTACCTCAGTTCTCTTCCTTTCCCAGAAGGGAAGGTGACATTTCCTCTTCTTCCTTTTTTTAAATTTTCATTTTTATGGGTACATGTTCCAGTACACAATGATCACATTCCTCGTGGGAAACTGGCACACATGCATAATGCATCATAATTTTTTGTTCCTCCCTTTCCTCTCATCTCGTGGTCCCCTTCCCCATTGCAAAAGATCTAACTCCCTGTTTCCTGTTATCTGTCTTTAATTTCGCTCTTCATTTATATTTTGGGCTTCTATAGAGAAACCAACGTGATATTTAAGCTGTGTATCTGATTTATGTCACTTAACATAATTTTCTCAAGGTGCATCTCATGTTCTACAAATGACTCAAGCTTATCCAGAAGGGAAGCTGTCTGCCCAGACCACACCGAGGCACAGCATCAGTGGCCTCCCCTGCTTCTGCCTCTAGGCTGGACTGAAGTTCCTACCATCTCAGGGATCTTTAGGCTTCACACATCCCTCTGGGTCTACCTGGTACCGGGAGAGGCAGGCACATTTTCACAGAGATCCCCTTGACCTTTTGTGTGCTACTGTGAGATATAATTAGCAGTCACACTGGAGAAAAACGGAATTAAAACTTGAACCAAACTTCAAGCCTTAGAGTGTAAGAAGCGCCTGGCACATGGTTATACCCCCCCTTCCATGCATATTCACTACTGGTACTCAAGATAAACGATGCAAGATTAGAATAGATATTCTCAGTGAGCAAGAAAACCTTCTTAGACAGTGGTGGGAGCCAGCTGCTAAATTCCCCGGTCAGTCTTTGTTAGACCAGGTGGGTCAACATGCTCTGGCAAAAAGAAGGCAGATTTGAAGATCACTCACAGTAATCAGCTCAGCTTTTTACTCGCAGAAGAATAACATAAGCCATCTTCAAAATACTTCAACCTCATATTGTACTCCTGGGGTCAAACCTTTCACCAGCTCCCCTGGCACCTACCAGGCTCTCTCTGCCTCAGCCCACCTTTCACAGCCATGCACGTTAGACTCCCAACTCCCCAGGCCAGCTTCACTCCACACCAAACATTCATTAAAGGGTGCATGTGCCAGGCCCTTGGGTCCCAATTCCTTTAAAGCTGTCATATTATTTTACCTTCTCTCAGGTGATCTTTGCCCACCCAAAGATCTTGCATCTTCACCTGTCCAAATTACACCCAGGCGTGATGATTATTTTTGTGATAACTTGTCTCATCATGGGGTGTCCAGTTACTTGGTAAAATTCTACTTCTGGATATGTCTAGGAGGATGCTTCCACATAAGATTAACATTTGTGTCAGGGGACAAAGTAAAGCAGAGGGCCTTCCCCGGTGTGAGGTCACTATCCAATCCACTGAAGGCCTGAACAGAACACAGGGTTGTGGAAAAATGAATTCCCCCCTTTTCTGTTGCTTGATCGCTTGAACTGAGACATTGGGACCCTGTCTCTGGTTTCATTTTGTGCTTTTCAGAGTTCTATCCATTGGTCTTTCTGGTTCATAGGCCTTCAGACTTGGATGGTCTGATGGTAAAACTTCCCAGCTTCCCAACTTCTGTAACCATCAGCCAGTTCCTTATAATAAATCTCTACAAATGCCTATTGTGCTGGCTGTGTTTCTGCAGACTTCCAGCTAATACACGAGCCCAGATCAGGTGCCACCCTTGCTGGGACAGGCAGTTTGCCACAGGCCCCCAGAGTCTTTGCATGTCCTTGCTGAAGGTGCCCAGCTCAAGGTCAATGGTCCCCTGACACTGAGCCATTCTGAGGCTGGTCATGCAGGCGAGGAGGTAGGTCAGGGAGGCCCTAGGACCCTCAGATGCACAACCCACCACATGGGGCCATCACACTGCCCTGTGGACTCCTGCTACCTGCCTGGCACTCTGCTGTGTGCTGGGAGTGACCAGCTGCCCTCTCTGGCCCCTGTCTAACCTTGGCCCATGTGGATCCATGCCAGGTTTCCAGCTTGCTTGCTTAGTGCTTTCCTCTGGAATCTTCTTACCCCTCACCATCCTCTACAAGGCTGAGGATCTTCCCCAACAATCCTCCTCAAGAAAGAATCTTTGGAAATTTCCAATGAATATGGATTGCTGACTGCTAAGCTCTGTAGCTCCCTGAACTCATGCTATGATTGTCTATTTAGTCCACACTATTTCCTTGGAAGCCTGAATTCGTTAAAAGGGAAGAGGACTAAGAGGACGACCAGAGACCAAAGCTGATTATCAGATGAGGGGGTGAGGAAAACCTCCCCAGAAAAATGCCTCACCTGGCTCAGTCCACACCAAGCTCTTCATGATAAACAAAAGCTTTGGAAACAAATCAACAAGCTGCAAGGAGATGACTAAGCATACTTTGAGGGTTCAGACTCACAGAAGTGCTGTCACTCTGCCACGAGTGAGCTATCCGGTAGCCCACCAGCTCCCCATCCTGCTGCCTGATTGGAGGCTGCATCCATCTGACATCCACCTTATTAGTAGACTCGTTCAGAAACACAGTGACATTTAAAGGTGCTGTGGATGGAGCTGCAAATGAAAAAGAAGAAAAGATGAAGAACCACAAAGAGAACAGCACATATAGACCAATTCTCTTCTTGGTTTCCCAGTGTTTCATTTTCCAATGTTCTCTGAAAAGCACAAAATGAAACTGAGAAGTCCAGAGTCCACTCTCTCTTCACTCAAGGACCACTGTGATATCACATGAGTTTTAACAAGTACTGAGTCCTTTAGGCCACGGAAGCCTCAAGAGATTTCTTAAATTGAGAATGTTACAAGCACCCAGGGCAAGGAAGGAAGGCAGTGACACAGTTATTTTTGGTATGTTACAACCGTTTTCATCTTTGCAGATTCCATGAGCAATAACCATAAAGATAAAGTCAGCCTCCACATAGGAAATGTCACACAGCCAAAGCCAGGTCTATGAAATCCATCACACACACTCGAATCTGTTAGAGAATCTGTGGGTTGACACGGCCAACTCAACAGGTCTTTCTACCTGCCTCCCCTGAAATCCCTCTACATTGACACTGAGGAATTTGAAAAAAATACAAACTCATGAGGCAAAAAAATGGAGTCAGGAATAGAAGACAATTTTCAACACATACTTGAAAGTTGGAAAAGAGGTGAAGGAGTAATTAATTTAGCAAAGCCACCCCCATTCTCCCCAAAGAACCACAGAGAGCTCAAAAGCTAAGGACACAAAAAGTAGGAAGCCTGCCTGCAAGTCTGCTTATAAGGTAGCTGCTCCTGGAGGGCCCTCTACCCGCTGCCCACACACCAGGCACAAACTCTCCCAAATATCCACAGGACACAAGGCAGGAGTTGCTCCGGGTTGAACACCAGTGGAATGGAGGCATGTTGAAAGGCCAGACTAAGAAGCAGAGAAATCAGTGAAAATCTGGCATCTGAATAAGGAGGATTCCACCTCATCCTTGTGCCCCTACCAGGTTCCTAAAATATCAGCTGCTAGGGCAGGAGACAACAGACTTGTCTTCCTGAGGGAGACAGGGGCTATGGAGAAGAAACCCAGTTGTCTAAAATGAACTCGAGGGTCACTCACTGCCCAATCACCAGCCAGTAAAGCCTATAAGCCCCACCCATATTTATAAAGTGCCAATCAAATTACTGGACTTCAATTTTCAATGGGTGTGGGCAGCAGAGATCTGGGGAAAACTCATTCATGAATGTCAGGGATCAAACACAGGACCAGAGGCTAGGGATTTAGCTCAGTGGCATGAGTGCCTGCCTTGCAAGCAGGCAGTCATGAGTTTGATCCCTGGTACCGATAAAAACGAAAAAGACCAAAAAAAAAAAAAAAAAAAAACACAGGACCAAAGACTTGGAGGACACAGAGCCAGTGTAAGGAACAGGAAAAGCCTACAAAGCAAACCAAACCAATAAATAATATACCTAAAGATGGGGGAAGAAAGCCCAATGACTGAAAACCAGAAAAAAACAAAAAAAAACCCAACCAATAGTGAAAAAGAAAGAATAAAAATCCAGAGGAAAAAAAGGCCACTTTGAGAAAAGAAAATTGAGATAGAACTCAAAGAGGTCTGATGACTGCTTAATATTACTGTTAGGGGGAAAATCCATACACAGAACATTTTTAAAGGAAAAACCGTTTAAGGAAAAGTCTCAGGACCAAAAGAGCTGGACTTCTGGGCAGGACAAGTGAAAGTACATGTGGATGACCAAGCAGATCTACATCACAGGTCATCACAGCATCAACATGAAGGCAAAATGGTATTTTTAAAGAAGCAAATGAAAAACAGTTCACACAGAAGACTCAAGTATCAGAGTTAGACACAGCAACTCTGAAAGCTGAAAAGCAGTGCAAAAATGCATTGACTGATTGATCACAGTACTGGGGATTGAATTTAGGACCTTTGCACTGTGCTATACCTCATTTTTATCTTTATTTTGAGGCATAGCCATGTTAGAAAACCCCACTCTTTTTTTTGTCTTTTTCTTTTTCTTTTATCAGTACCGGGGTTTGAACTCACAATTGCCTGCTTGCAAGGCAGGCGCTTATGCTGCTGAGCTAAATCCCCAGGCAAGGCATACCCATGTTGAAGTTGTTAAGTTGCCCGGGCTTGGCCCAGACTGGTGATCTTCCTGCTCCAGAGTCACACAGTGCTAGGATTATGTTTGTGCCATATCAGCTAGGAGTTTTAAATTTTTGAGGGAAAAGAATTTCTATTTTAAAATTACATGTTCAGAAAAATTACTAATTTAGTATGAAATAAAGACATTCAAGTTTGTAGTCTATTATTATTATTATTGCTGTTTTGTTGTTGTTGTTGTTGTTAGCAGTACTGGGGATCTAACCCAGGGCCTTCACACTGAACTACATCCCCAGCCCACCACCACCTTATTTTGAGATACTGTTTTGTTTAAACTGCTAAAACACCTGGGCTGGGGTTAAACTTTCAGTCTTCCTGTCCCAGCCTCCCAGAGCACTGGGATTACAGGTGCGGACCACCGTGCCTGAGTTTTTACTTTTTTCTTGAGGTTGAGTCTCAGTGTGTGCCTGGGCTGGCTTGAACTCCTTCAGTGGGCTCCCTGTTGCCTCAGCTGCCCAGAGCTGGGCCTCAGCCACACATCACTGAAGCCCAACTTGCTCTTCACTTTTTATACATGTTCACTTTGGGAGGCGATTGAGAATGTGTCCCGCGAAAATAAAAGACTATGCTAAGTAAGGCAAAAGGTCAAGGACGGCAACTGGGTCCCAGGATGACTCTAAAGAAAGACAAGAAAGCCACGAGAGAAGTAAAGGTAACAGTACTCAGTACTCAGTACTCAGAAATAGCCCCTATTCCTCTGAGTCAGACTGAAAAAATCTCGATTCAAGGAGCCTGGGTTAGAAAACACAGGATGGTCAGGTCTCACCAGTGGGTAAAAGTTGACCTTAGACTGAACACTGCCCTGGTCCTGCTTAACAAATCTCAAAAGCCATCCCCAAGAGTTAAGCCACTCACCATTAGCTTGACTGTGTCCCCAAACAAAGCTTTTTATAGAAACACAAGAATATCCAGAATTCAACAATACAGAATAATCATTGCCCGGAATCCAATCAAAGATCACTAAGCATGAAAAGAAACTGGAACGTACTAGCCTCAGTGGGGCTATAAATGAATTATTTGAAATCACAGCAGAAATAAAATGGATCTGTTAGAATTAACAAATAAGAACATTAAAACAGTATTAGAGTTAGATCGTGTATAGTCCAAAAGTTAAGTAGAGGCATAAAATATGCAAAAAATCCTAAATTTATAAGAGATGAAAGAAAGATTAATGGCAGATTAGACACTGAATAACAATAGCAACAACACAAAAAGATTATGAAGACACAACAATAGAAACTACCCAAAAGAAAATCCAGAGAGAAACAAAGGGGAAAACAACAACAAAGCCTCAGTGAGACATGGACAACTTCAAATGGTATGTGTACTTGAGTATTGGGCCTTAGCTCGGTAGTACAGCACCTGCCCGCTATGCTAAAACTTTCAAATCTGATGCAAACTACACACACCCAAGAAGTTCAAAGCACAAAGCATATATTAAAGTTACACTGGGGGCCGGGGATTTAGCTCAGTGGCCCCATGCACCTGCCTAGCAAGCGAGAGGTTGTAAATTCAATCCCCGGTCCCACCAAAAATAAAGTTATGTTAAAGTGCATTATCATTAAATCACTGAAATCAGTGAGTAGAGGAGAAATAAAAAACATACACACATATGCAGAGCAAAAATTTAGGTTGAACACAGATTTTATGTTGGAAACAACGCAATGACAGCCAAAAGACAGTGGAACCACATCTTGTAATGTATTGAAAGGAAACAAACTGTGAAGCTAGAATTCTGCGTCTAGTAAAAGTATCTTTTAAAAAGGAAAGGCGAGGTCAGAATACAGCTCGGTGGTAGGGTATGTACACAGCATTGGCAAGACTCGAGTTCAGTCCCAAGCACAGCTGGGAAAATAAAAGTAAAATAAATCTTAGTTTCAGGGTAAAATAAATATTTTTTCCTCAGACATACAGAAGCTGAATTTCCCACCAGTGGATCCATCCACAGTGTAAGAGATGATAAAGAGGTCTTCAGGGACAAGGAAAGTACTACCAAGTGAAATACGGTCTACTCCCCAAACTGAAGACCCCAGCAACAGTAACCACATGGAGAAATATACGTTTTTCCTTATATAAATCTCTCAAAAAGATTATTGGCTGAACAAAAATAACAATATAAATGGATTTATAACATACTTAAAATGTATGATAACAATTGCAAAAATATTGGAAGGAGAAAAATAGGATTGTCCTAGGTACAAAGTGGTATGAATCATTTTCAGGAAAACTGTGACAGGTTAAATATGCACAGTATAAACCCCATAGAAACTGCAAGGAACAGAAAAGGTTATGGCTAATAAGCTAACAGAGGAGAGAAAACTGGGCCAGACAAATATTTGACTACACCAAAGAAAAAAGAAAAGGGGAACATATTACAGATAGAACAAATAGAAATTATGAAAGACTTCAATCTACCCATTTAAATGATATCATTACACTTTAATGGATTAAATTCTCCCAACTTAAGGGTAAATGTAAATCGACTAAAAAGCAATGTGGGGGCTAGGAGGGTAACTCAGTGGTACAGTGCATGCTCAGCATATAGGTGAGGCCCTGAGGTCAAACCCCAGCAGTGGAACCCACCAAAACATATACATATACCAACATATATATATCACTTATACCACATATATGCCATGTATATAACAAAATATATACCACTTCTATGGAACACACATTGACAGAACAAGCAGATAAAAATCTCTGCAAGAATTCGTATTTGCAAAGTCTGTCAATCAACTTGACCTAGGTAATATTTCCAGAACATTCCATCCCAATACAAACAATATGGTTACCAAGAGAGCCATACTCTGGGCAGTAAAAACCAGTCTCAATCCATTTAAAAGAGTCAAGTCATGCAAATTATATTCTCTAGCCTCAACCTGACTAACCTGGAAATTAACACTACAAAGATCTGTAGAAAAATCCAAAATATTCAGAAACTGAGTAATAGATCTAAATAATCAATGAGCCAATCAATCAATAAAAAATCTTTTCTAGAAAGCATTTTGAATTGAAGATGGAACCACAGCATACCAAAATTGTTTTTAAAGGCTTTTTCTTCTTTATTTGAAGATAGAACTGGTGTAAGAATCAAGCCCTCAAAATATCTTTTTTTCAGGACTGGGGATGGAATTGAGGGCCTTGTACATGCTGGGCGAATGTTTTACCACAGAGCTGCATTCCCAGATTTTAAACCATTGAAGTTTCTAAGCAGACCTGTCCCTCCATCTGCATGGAGTCTGCAGTGTCGACTGTCATGAGGTCAGGCAAGAGTCTCTTAGTTTTCTGAATCAAGTGTCACTCATTGTAAGTCTTAGGAATTACCTCCCTCCGTGGTGCTGGCCAGAATCCACGGGCTCAGTGCGGACCAGCCAATTTCGTTCATACAGGACACACTGATGCTGTAATTGGCCAGGGCTTGCAGCTGCTGGATTTGATACAGATGTGGTGAAGCCGAGGTGTTAAAAATCATGACTGAGCCGTTACTCAGAGGATCAGCTTCCTTGACCTGAATGAGGAGCAGAGACATGGACACATGAGTAAGTCTGCGGGAATGCTGGGCCCTGGCACGCATGCACACAGCCCAGGTGGGCTTCCTCTGCTCTGTGGGAAGGACCTGCTTCCTTTTGGGCCTCGCACGTCTTCCCATCTGTGTTACCGAGCCTTACTCATGCTCTTCGGGCAGCAACTGAGGACCTGGTGGTGGTGGTGGGGGAAATGCCCAGACTCAAGAGGTTCACTGTGGCAGGTAGCAGAGCTAGTAATTAGCATGACCATAATATAACGATTAGAACTTACGTTGCATTAGAAAGGAAAGTGGTCCCTCTGTTAGAGCCCCTCAATTCTTGCTTTCTTCTCTTAGCTGCTTTGTATAATATGCAACAGAGGCAATACTTCCCAAGACCTGCTTGAGAAGATGGATTTCTGAGTTTCTCTTTTTCTTTTTTTAAACCTGTATTCATTGCATAACGTAACCCAAGGATCCCTGCTCTCGCCTTGAAGCTAATCTTAGTAGTGTCCTATATTCTCATGCTGTTTGATTCTGGTAGAAATTTGGCCCACAAGGATACACAGATAAGATATCTTTTGTGACATTAGGAAAGGGTTGTTTATAGCTCATCCAGCAAACTTTTCTCCAAACTGCTTCAAATGTCTATTTCTTTATTTTTCCCTCCACAAACCACACAAGTCTCCCTACCTGCGCATGCGCAGGCAAGTGCGGTGGATTCCCAGGGAAAATCTAGTCCTGCGTAATGTTTTTACCCTTCTTTCTTAAGCACATCTCCTGTTGGGAATGGTGTCATGAGAGGATTTAGGAATTTCCCCCTACTCCTTGGTTTTTCAAAATTTCTACAATCTGTAACGCTCATAAACTCAGAAGAGACTAACTAGTATTGGGTAAAACAGAAGAAACCAAAAGCAATTAGAGAGGAGACAAGCTCTTCAGTCCATCAGATGTATTCCCTTTACTAACAGGCATGCAGTTATGGGGTATGCCTACAGGATACTGCTCTTTCGGAATCTGTATGTTTGAAATTGAGGGCGAAGGGGTCATAAATAAACACTTTTGAAACTCTGTGTTCCCTGGTGGATGCCATGAGGGTGATGTGGGGGCCAAGTTCTGACTCAGACCTTGTGGGTCACAGGAAGGTACCGGTTGGCCTCAGGAGCCACCCTAGGAGAAACAAGGACCATGTGCTTATCTTGGCAGTGGCTGCTGGCAGAAACTGCTCTTTGTTTGTCACGTTAGAGTACACACCTACTTCCTGGTGAACAGTCACCAAAGCTAAGGCAGAGGGCAGCTTTGGCTCCCTGCCCCCACCCCATTTCCGGGCCCGCGTGGAATGTTTCCAGGCACAGTGATGGAAAGTGTTCCTGGAAGAAGACGGGATACCGGTAACAGTCCTTCTCAGTGGGTCCTGGGGAAAGGACAGCATGAAATGGCAAGAAGTGTGCAGAAGAGTCCCAAATAGAAATAGAGTGTGTGGCCTAAAAAAGCGGGTGAAGAAAGGAACTGACATCAGGACCAAAGGAAGCAAGAGGGTGTGTCCCGCTGGACACGGATCCGACTCTCAGCATTCATTTGCTACCAAGTCAGAGTTTAAAACTGGAATGAACTATACAAAGCCATGCTTGGTCTTTTCAGGAATGAGAAAGCATGATTCCTCAGTAGACTATCAAAGTGTAACCTGTAGAGAAAATGTAGGATACTCAGCTAAATAAAAATGTCAGATAAACAACACTTTTTTAGTGCAATAAATCACAAGAGTCCTGATTCTTATGAACTAAATTCACTGATCTTACCAGAGATGGCAAGGAGAAGGAGGAGGAGGAGGAGGAGGAGGAAGAGGAGGAGGAGGAGGAGCTGGCAGGTGGGGCAAACTCTGCACGGCCACATCCAGCCCCACAAGATCTAGGATAAGTGAGGGGGCTGTGATTTGGCAGTCCCCAGAAGATTTCTCCTAGGAGCCATGGCTACCCAAAGCCACAGCAAGGACTCAGCAGGTGAAGCTTTGTGTGAGCATCTTCTACCTTCTGGGTGACCTGTGGTCCTCAGACTTCCCAGCCATTCGGCCCCACTTTGCGTCTATCCTGAAACCTGCTCTCTCCAGATGTTGGAGGGACTGTTTTTCGGTCTCCCTGCACATAACCATTTTCATGTGGGAAGGCACATCCTATCCTCTTAGATGGCTCAAATAGCTCAGCAACAAGGTGACAGTTTGCAAAAGGGCTGGTCTGTGCTCAATTGTGTCCATTGATATAAACGTCTACTGCCAGGCCCAGCTTGTTCCCAACAATAGAACTCCAAAATACACAGAGCAAAAACTGATAGTATAAAAGGAAAAACAGTCCAGAAATGAGCAGTGAGACTTCAGCTCTCCACTTTCAGCTACAGATAGAACCACTATGCAGAAGACCAACAAGGGAACATCAGACTGAACCCAGCGAAACAGACACACCTGAACATTCCACTGGACTGTAGTGGATTATATTTTCTTCTCAAGTACTTGGGAAATACCCAAGATAGAACATAGATAAGTTTAACGAGACTGAAATCATACTGATGATACAGTGGGACATCAACAAAGGAAGAAAACTTGAAAATTTACTACTGTGGAAATTCAACAGCACAGTTCTGAACAACAGAATGGACAAAGAAAAAAATCAAAAGAATAAAAAAAAAAAAAAACCCTTGAGATGAAAACACAAAACCAAACCTTATGGAATGCAGCTACAGCAGTGCTGAGAGAGAACTACAACATATAAACACCTACATTAAAAAAGAAGAAATTTCGGGGCTGGGGATTTAGCTCAGCGGCATAAGCACCTGCCTTGCAAGCAGGCAGTCATGAGTTCGATCCTTGGTACCGATAAAAATGAAAAAGACAAAAAAAAAAAAAATTATATATTTAAAAAGAAGAAATTTCAAGTCAAGAATCTCCTACTTTAGGAGACTACAAGATGAGCAAATTAAGCTAGAGAAAACAGAATAAATGGAAGAGTAAGGCAGAAATGAATAGACAAGAGAAAATAATTTAAGATCCAAAAGTTGCTTATTCAAAAAGATAGATAAAACTGGCAAGCCTTTAGCTAGACTGATGAAGAAAAATAATAGAGAAGACACAAATTACTAACATCAGGAACGAAAAGGAAGACATTAGTATTAAGCTCAAAGAAATGAAAAGGGCTGTAATAGAACACTATGAACAATTCTATACCAATAAATTAAATAACTAAAGTAGAACTATCAAATTCCTAGAAACACCCAAACTATCTAAACTGACTCGAGAAGAAATAAATATCTAAGTAGACCTAATCCAAGTAAAAAGGTGGAGTTACTATTATTAAAAGAAACTTCCCATGAAAAAAAGTCCATGCCCAGAGAGCTCTGCTGGTGAATTCTATTAAATATTTAAAGCCGGTCTGGGGATTTAGCTCAGTGGTTAAAGCGCTTGCCTAGTAAGTGTGAGGTTGTGAGTTTAACCCCTGGTATCAAAAAGAAGTAGAAATAAATATTTAAAGCAGAACATCAATCTTTCACAAACTTCTCAAAGAAATAAAAAAAGAAGGAACATTTTCCAACTCATTGTATAAGGCCAGTAGTACACCGATACCAACCCCCCCAAAAAATTACAAGAAAACTACATATAAACATCACTTGTCAAAATAGACACAGTTAAAAAGTGGCAATGATTGCACAACTCTCTGAATAAAGTGAAAACCACTGAATTGCACTTAATTTTATTTATTCATTTGGTAGAACTCAGGACATTGTACTTGCCGGGCAAGCGCTTATGCCACTGAGCAATATCCCCGGCTACTTTTGGTTTTTTTTTTGTCTTTTTCCTTTTTATCGGTACTAGGGATCGAACTCATGACTGCCTGTCAGGCAGGCCCTTATGCCGCTGAGCTAAATCCCCAGCCCCCTACTTTTGGTTTTATAAAACAGGGTTTCACCATATACTCTGGGCTGGCCTTGAACTCACAGTGATCCTCTTGACTCAGCCTCCTGAGTGCTGGGATTACAGGCTTGCACCATGACACCCAGCCTGACCTGTGCTTTAAATGAGTGAATATTATGGTATGTAATATATATATATATATATATATACACATATATATATACACACACACATATATATATATATATATATATATAAATATTTTTGGAAAAAGACAAATATCCATGATGAGGAATCGTAAGTGCAAGAATTCCTAACACTAACACTTACTAGTATTTGGGAGGTTTACAAATAAAATTGGAATAATAATAAACAATTAAGCAAGGCTGGAGATGGTGGGCGCGAGAGTGGAAGCTATTTTAGGGATAGCGCATGCTTTTATTCCTCAGAAAAGGAACAGGTGTTAAATAAGAGTAGGAGGCAGAAAAGCAGAGAAGTTAATTCCATTTGCTATTAAAAACATCTGGTCTCCAGTGCAACCGTCAGCCAGTTTTTTGTTTTTCATTTTGAGACAGGGTCTCACTGAGTCACTAAGCCGGGAGCCTCCCACGTGAACCTCGCAGCGAGCTGGGGTTACAGATGTGTGCCACCACGCTCGGCATGTTGACATGTTTTTAACTAATAAGACTTGATTTTAGGAAAGGAAGGGCATTGCTATCCCCACTGCATGAGGAAGTACAAGGCAGAGTGCATTTCTATTTCTGGTGCATTCCGCCCCTGTGTCTGGCAACCTTCTCGCTGCGTCTCCTGGCTGCAGAGCAGATGGGCCCCAGCTCATTTGAACTTCCAGGCTCTGACACAGGCTATGCATGTCTGAACCTATAGTGCTGGCGGGCTGTAAGTAAGAGAATGTTTGCAGAGTTCAGGGGCCACTGTGGGCGCTCCGCAGTGAACAGCATTTTTATCAAAGGAACACTCACGAGCAATGCTTCCATCATGACAAGGTGTCATTTGAAGAGCTCTAACCTGTATTTCTTTCAGTGCTGTCTCATACTGACTTTAGGTGACTGGTAGTTAAAAATGGCTGAAGACTATAAAGCCTATAATCCAGGGTTTCCTTGGGAGACACACTGGCTAAGGTGTGGTGTGTCCTCTACCTTGGTCTCACCATCTGTCCCTCATGGCACTGGTCTAAGGGGAGCCACGCTGGGGAATGCCTGGTCACAAGTAAGCCCTCCTTTAGGAATGTGTTTTTGTAATTAAAAATTAATTCTCCTTGGTTTTCCTCAGAAACATGCTTCTCTTGTGGTTGGACCCTGGACCACAATGAGGGAAGGAAGCAGCATAATGGGCAGGAAAAAAGCTGCAAAAAATGGTGGGTAATGGGTCAAGGGACTTTGGACAGAAAAGGACAAATGACCTCTGTGCTTGAAAGGAGCACGAAAAATCAGGTAGCCTCCCGGACCACCAGTCCCCTTCCCTCTTCATCCTGGGGTTTTACCTGAATGCTGCAGTTCCTGAATGGGGAGTAGCCATCAAAACCAGGGACCCAGGAGACCAGAATGCTGTGCGCCGAACTGTTGTGGATGTGGACTTCGGTTGGTGGGGAGGGAATCGCTACATCAAAACAAAGGCACGTGAGTGTGAACACACAATTAGACCCTCCAGGAGGCCACAGCTGTCAACCTAATGCATTAACACACACCTGCTCCTCTGCCCTGAGATTAGCACAGGGAACAGGGATTTCCAAGAGGAGCTGCTCTAGGCTTGAGAGTAATGGCACTGGTCTGGAGAGAAGTGTTCCAGCCATGGGATGCTCCTGCCTGGGCCTGAGAAGAGGAATGTAGACCCACTTTCCTGCTCATGGATGAAGTGAGGATGTGTTTTAACTAGAATAGGACATTCATGAACTTCATGGGACAAGTATTGTTGACCCCGCTATGTGTGGCTGCTTGATGGGGGTAATAGTGTAATAGATGAGAATCAAGAGCCACAACCCTCTTGCCCTTGTGGAGGACATGGCCCAGTGGGGAAGACCCATATCAACCACAGATCAGAGCGCCTTGAGCCCAGAAGATGAGATGTCCCAGGAGGCTGGGGGGGGGGGGGAAGAGGAGGACAAGGAGAAGAAGGAGAGGGAGAGGGAAAGGAAGAGGGAGAAGGAGGAGGAGAAAGAGAAGAAAGAGGAGGAGGAAGAGAAGAAAGAGGAGGAGGAAGAGAAAGAAGAGGAGAAGGAGGGAGAGGAAGAGGAGGAGGAGGAAGTTTTCCAATCCTATGAAACAGGGAAGAGTGAGTTAAAGCAAAAACCACCTCCACAAATAGGTGAGTGCGTAGTGACCTTGCTTACACGAGATTTCAGTCAGAATCTAAGAAGCATCAAGAGTTTGGGAAACCTGCCTCTCAGGGCCATACTGAATTGTCTACAATAATTCCATTTATAATAAAAGTGACGGCTAACGTTCTTGTGTGCTTCCTCTGTGCCATGCTTTGCAGGCCTTGTTCCATGGCTGTGGAGCTCAGGAGGAGGGGTAGCCTCACAAGCACCAGGTACAGAAGAGGGAACTGGACAGAGGGGTTAGGAGCAGTAGAACAGGGTCTCGAACTCAGGCATGCCTCTCCTTGGAGCTGGAGTCCCTCAGCAGGACACTGGAGGCCTATGTAGAGGGACAGTAGAAAGGCATAAGCACCGCAGGGCCTGGGGGCTGGGCTACCTGGGAACAGGGCCCAGCCCCATGCCTGCCCTGGACACAGTCCAGTGATCTGGAAATAGGGATCACAACAACGCTGCTCCACGGAACCATGACACAGGTACGCGGCCCAGGCCAGGTGTGTGAGAAGCGACAGTGGAATGAACCAGAGGAGACTTGGCACCTTATGAAGCACACAAGTCTCAGTTTTGCTAGCAGACATGCAGATTAGCGAGCGGGGACCAGCTGGCACATTGCTGGACTCACTTCCCTAAGCAGATTATCTGTGGAACTGACATAAAGGGTCTGCCTTTTCCAGATCAAAATCCGACCACATACATCATAGCTATAACTGTTTAAAAGAAGGGAGTGGCTCTGATATAAATTTTACAATACACAAAAGCAAAACAAAAATTTATGCTTTGGAATCTGAGTTCATTTTAAAAAGAAACCTCAGCAGAGATTCCATGTGAATCCTAAAACAAAATACTTCTCATTTCATAGATTTTTAAATTATAAGAAGTTTATATTTTAGGAAAAGACTGTTACAAACATACACCTACTCACATATTTCTGAAATTCCGAACATGTCTACTGAAACTTTTAAAAATGGAATTCGTAAAATAGGAAGGAAATTATCCACTTCCTCTAGTGTTAACTTTTGGTTTGCTCACTTTTTAAAAATTCCAATGAGCTTTTAGAAAATGTCCTTTCATAACTTTGCATCCGGTTGATCTACTGAAACTAAAACTAGTACCTTTTATTCTGTTTCGTTTTGTCTTTTGTTTTTTGAAACAGGGTCTCACTTTGTAGTGCAGGCTGGCCTTGAACTCATTATGTAGCCAGGCTGGCCTCAAACTCGAAGCAATCCTCCTGCCTCAGCTTCTTGAATGCTAGGATTACAGACATGCACCACCACACCCAACTCTAGTGGTTTTTTAGAGTGTAACTTCTTTCATAGTTTTATATCCCCTTCTGCATTTAGCCAAACTAATTAACACATTCATATGCATTCTACTTCTTCCTTGCATAGTTTTCTACAGATAAGATGAGGGAAATACAAACCCAATACACTTACTACTCAATGCCTAATTTAAGATCAAGTAGTAAAACAAAATGTGCTTGAATTTCTATGAGAGAAAGATGTCAGGAAAAGAGATCTAAAGATACTATTTGCTTGTATGTCTTCCTTTGCTTTCAGGATTCAGGTTTAAGTATCTTCTAACAGAGTAGGAGGAGGACAAGGTGGATGGATTGGAATGTCCCGCTGGCCCAAGGGACTTTCAGACCTCTGCCTTTAATCCTGTTGCAATTCACTGCCCCGCAAAAGCCCTACTGAAATCCAAACTCAGAGGAAGCCAGAGGAGAGGCAGAGGGAAGGAGCTTGCTGCCTGCTTTCTGCACCTGACTCTTCCCTCTGCTAGCAGCCACAGGGAACTGCCTGGACCCAGTGACCCAGAAAGCACAGAGCCCATTGTCGAGATCAGTGCCCTCAAGTAACCCCACTCCCGGGGCTGTTGCAGGTTTCATGAGGACAAGTAGAGGGTGGAAGTGGAAAAAGTGAAAAGAGGAGCTCACGTGAGCAAAGGTAAACATCTGAGCTATTTTTATTTTTAGAGTAAGCACAGTTAAATGGAGCAATGTTCTGTGAAGAGATACGCCATGGGCCCTGCTGGGAGTCTTCTACTCGTATTAACCCATTAAGCATCAACAACAGGGAGATTCTGTCATTACCTCCATTTTCCAGAGCGGAACATCGAAACAAAGAGGTGAAGTGACTTGTCTATGGTCACAAAGAAAGCTAGGATTCGAACCCGGGCAGTTGGGTGCAAGGGCTCACCCTCAGTCTCCCACCAGCTCCCGGAACACACTTGAGGGGCTCTGCTCATGCTGCTTACCTTTGATGTTGACCTGCACACCCTTGGACACGGTCAGTCCTTTGTCATTGTGGGCCTCGCAACTGAAGATCGCCGTCTCTGTGAGACCTGGAGTGAAAGGACACTTCAGAGACAGTCGCCAGGAAACGGAAAGCTCTCTACCAGGATTCAGCGGTCAGCGCACTTGTATTTCTCGGGTCATTGCTCCATGCCAAAAATATGAAGTTAATTTTAAAAATGTGCTGGTGATAGAAAATCAAACCTGAATAAAACCATAGGTACCAAGAGCAAGGCAGCCCTGGTCCCCAGAAGTTGCTGTGAGCATTCATTCAGATCTTGAAAGGTGAGACCTTAGGGACTAAACCAGTACTGCACAGACTTTTACGTCACCACACAGACATTGGGGGCTGGCTGACCCCCAATATCCAGAAAAGTGGGGCCTGAGATTCACCCAACCCCCTGCTGCTTAGTCCCCTGTACATACTATGTCACTATGCTACCAACATTTTAGAATATCAGAAACAGTAGGATAAAAACTATGTGTTTTTAAAATTTTCAGGTGGGGGCTGGGGATTTAGCTCAGCGGCATAAGCGCCTGCCTTGCAAGCAGGCAGTCGTGAGTTCGATCCCCAGTACGGATAAAAAGGAAAAAGACAAAAAATAAATAAATAAATAAAATTTTCAGGTGATCCATTTTTGAAGGGTAAAAACTCACTCGTGGGAAATTACAATATAGATACAAGGCATCATGACTAATGGAAGAGAAGACACAGATACAAAGCAAAGAAAAATTCTATCATTAGAGCTTGAAAGATGTCTTAGCAATTTAAAAAATTGATTCATTGGTTTTAAATAGCAAGGTTACTCAGATCTTGGTTTCTAATACCATCTTCCAATCAAAGGAACCAGGCTGCTTGGAGAAATGGCTGATTCTCAGATCAGAGTAGCACAGACAAAAGATGAGCCTGGCGTGCAGTTTAACATGACATAAAACGTAGACACACATGTACGCACACACACACACACACACACACACACACACAATGACAGGGTAGGTAAAAGAGACACATAAGCCAAGTGAAAGAGTAAAATCTAGAACATGAAGAGCATGAAACTGTAATGAATCATAGCCCAAAGTATAAAAAATGCCCATGAATCTGCATTGATAACATAAGTGATTAAATAAATAGGGAGAACAGAAACACCTCTGTGAAGAGGAATCCAAGCCTACGAGGATGCTCCTTCCCCAAGGAAGTGCAGTCCAACCCCTGCCCTTCCAGTGTGGGCCGCACATGGTAACCTCCTTCCTACAGTCCAGTGGGAAAGAGGGAAAAGACAAGAACTTTGGAAGGGAGAAACTGACAGCTGTGACCCGGCCAGTGACCAAGGTCAATGACAGTCACGCTGGGAGAACGTACACTTGGTGTGAGGTGGGGAGAATGGCATTTCCCTTTTACAGTGTCCCTCTTGACAACATAAAAGTCCAGGCTAATCAAGAGGGAAGCAGCAGGTTCACACTGTGGGACGTCCTCCAGGACACCTGCCCTGTCATCCTAAGACTGCGGAGGTCATTAAAAACAAGGAAAGGATGAGAAATTGCCATACCAAGATGACTAAATGGAAAGTGGTATTCCGAAGGGGATCTAGGGACGGAAAAAGGACAGGAAATGTGACTTCCAGTTAATAATAACGTATCAGGAACAGCATACCCATTGTAACAAACGCAGCAAACTAATAAAAGAGAAGAAAGCAGAGGTGGGATTTATGGAGATGAACAAAAATCACCTGGCTGGAATAGATGTGGATATTTTCTAGCCCAAGCCCTTGTGGCTTTCCAGGGAGAAAATCATCCACCCCACCAGTGTCCAAGCCCCGCCTCCCTCTCTATCCTGAACGCCTTGGGGCCCCTGAGCTCCAGTCTACTGGACCAGTCCTCTCCCCTGGTCGCTCCCCTTGCCGAAGTCTCCTGTTTACACCCTTCCCACTTAGTCCTCTGTTGAAAAGAGACAGCCTGTGCTATGGAGCTGAAGGATCTGAAAGGTATTCTTAGGATGTGCAGTAGCAGGACTGTCCCTTGAGGAAGGGACAAACTTAATTGCTGACGAAGCAACTCCTAGGCACACACCTGGGCCAATTCTTTGAGTTCTGGATCAAGCAATCCTGCAAATTAACTAAACAATCTTATTTCTTCATTTTTTATTCTAGTACCCATCTTTCTACCAAAGGCGGCCACTGATAGAAGCACACGCTGTGTAGATGAAATAGCTTTTTGCCTCGGAGCTCTGTCTGCCCTGCATTCCTTTACTCCATGGTACTTGCTAAGTTAGTCACTCAGCTTCCGGGAGTTTAGGTCCAACCACCAATAATACAGTTCATGGAATTTTCCAGAAACTGTATGTCCTGTGATGACATCACAGCTCTAATTATGAGTAGAATAGGCACTCTACATGGCCAGAAGACTGAGTCTGAGACTTTGTCTTGGTTACACAGCGCTGAGATTCAACCCAGGGCCTTAGCTTGCTAGGCAAGAGAGCTAACCCTGATCCAGCTCCCCAGTCCCTACAGTTCTTCTTTAAAAGAAAAAGAAAACATTTTTCCACTTGATATAATTTTAGATCTACGAGAAGTTGCAAAAATAGCACACAGTTCCTGTGCACCCTTCCCCCCAAGCTTTTGCCAATGATAAAGATCTTACATAATCATTGTACCATGATCAAAACCAGGAGAATGACGTCAGTACCCAACTATTCACTCAAATACAGACCTTACTAGTTTCTATTTTATTTTGGGGTAGGGAGAAGGAAAACACAGTTTTATGAAATTTTAGTCTATAATCCCAGCACTCAAGAGGCTGAGGCAGGAGAATCCTTGTGAGTTTGAGACTAGCCTGGGCTACAAAGTGAGATCAAGGACAGCCTGAACTGCATAACAAGACCCTGTCTCAAAAAGGCAAAAAATTGTAAAATAAGAAAGAAATTTTAATAACAGGTACCAGTTGTCGATACAGAATTGTTTCATCACAAGAAAGAAAGAAAGAAAAAGAGACGAGTTCCATCCTGCTATCCTGTACCTCTAATGAGCCCACTGAGAAAAAAAAAAACTGGTCTTTTCCCCACCACTGTAATTTCATCACTTTGCCAATGAAATCAGTGAAATCAGACAGTATGTAAGCTTTGAGATCGGCTTTGTTCAACTAGAATAACCTCTTTCAGACAAAGCACTTTCTGCTCCTGTGTCTTGAAGATAATTCTTGCCGCATGGGGTGAGGATGAGGGGTTGCGGGAGTGGGGGGTAGGGGGGAATTGTGTCAAGAGGGAAAAAGCACATGACCGTCTTGTTCCTAAATATGCTTGCTCAAAGCAGTGCAAACAGCAGGGCTATTTTAAACCACTTCCCTGCTTGGCGTTCTTACAGCAGAAGGGATAGGAACATTGGCTTTGAGGTTAATTTTAAGATAGAATGACAGCCCCCTGTGACTCTCAAGACACCATCAGCAGGTGAGGGGCTGCTGCTGAGGTGGGGAAGACCCCAAAGGTGGCTCAGAACAGAACACAGCACCCAGTTCCCCAAACAGAATTGAGGGAGGGGTCAGGGATCCAACTAAAACTTCTGCAAGACCAAAAACGGATGGAGCCCCAGACCTCAGGCAGGCAAGCGCTCTCTCTAGAATCTGAGCTAGCCCTTAACTTGGTTTCTGTGCAGCTCCTTTACAGTGTCACAGCAAGTGGCTGACTTGACAGAAGTCCCCACATGCCGACACAGGCCCTGTGATCAGATCAGCACCCGGCGTGCCATGCCTCATTCTTCTTGGATTTATTTGTGCCTTTGAGTCTGAAAACTGGATTAAAAAAAACAAAATAAAACAAAAACTCCTGCTCTACTAATTCCACTAAAGTTGCTCCAGATAGGAATGAGAAAAGTCGACAAGAGCTGAGCACGGGGATGCATGGTGGTAATCTCCAGGCTAAGGGAGGCTGAAGCTGGAGGATCCCAGGCTGGGAAACTTAGTGAGATCTTGTCTCAAAATTTAAAAGGGGCAGGGGGATGTAGCTGGGTGAGAAGGCTCTGGGCTCAATCCCCAGCACTGTGTGTGCAAGGGGGGTGGAGGGCTGGGGGTGCAGTAGCTCATGTCCTGGGCTCTGTCCCCAGTACCACAGGATGGCACAGTGTCAAGGTGGGAGGGCTTTACATATAAAAATAATTGCAAGGGGACATTACCCCATTGTCACAGTGCACTTTTGTCCCCAGAGTCTTGGTAATGTATTCATTTGTTCATTAGTCCATCCATTCATTCACACAGTTCTCAGGTACCAGGTGCTGTGCTCCGTGGTAGGGCAAAACTAAGCATTGCCACAGGATAAGCCCTCTGGTTACTAACCCGTCTCAGAGGCCTGAGAAGTAGGGGGTCACAGGGGGATGTAAGGGGGAGGAAGGTACACAGCGGAGAGGAAGATTTGCAGGGAAGATCCGAGAGCTGAGCGGCAGAAGGGCAGGGATTTACCACACAGACAACCAAGCGGCAGCCTGGGCAGAAGGGCCATGTGCAGAGCCTGGCAGAAAGGTGCAGTGGACACGAGGACCTGCACTCCAGAGGGCTCACAAGCAGCTGCCTTGGCCCGTGAGGAAGGATCCCCAAGGGGTGGGATTTTAACCCTCAGGTGCCGGGAGTCCTGCTGGAATGATAAGCTCTAGAATCCCCCTACTAATGATGTGGAAAATGACTCAGAGTTAGGTGGCAGGGAGTGGTGGGGAGCATGAGGGCATGTACGGTTAGGATGTCACAGCCCGGGCCTTCGCAATGAACTGGGAAAGTCTGAATGAGGCCATGGAGAGGCAGAGGGAGAAATGTACAAACAGACACCTGAGGAGGAACTCAGAGCAGGAGACCTGTCCTAACCGTCATGAGGGATGGAGGAAGAACTTGAAGTCTCAGGGGTGCAGAGTGGCTGTGCAATTACATCAGCAGGCCTTCATCCCTGCGGGCACCGGTGATGCCATCTCTGCTGGTAAGCAGGCATCAGATAAATAGTGAGCAATTCCGAGATGGCTAGGAAAGGGGCCCAGTGCGCCCCACTGGCTCCTCAACTGGAAAGAGCAAAGCTACGGGT